ACGATAGTGACATTTAGTTCTAACATTTACATGTTTGGTTGGTGATGTGTCTCTAATATAACATTTTAAGCAAGAACTTTGAAACGACAGTTTGTTCTATAAGATTTACTTTTATGACAATGACAATTTAGAAATATTGTTTTGGTCTCCCTCTTCTATGACTGTGTTTTTGATTTAAACTACATTAATAAGTCAAAATAATGAGTACTATTTTTCTGTTGAAGCCAGCTCATTCTTTGAGGGATTAAAATTCTTAATGTTAATATAACACGAGAATGAAATTTTATAAGATTTTTTAGATTTATAAATTTTTCCCAGTTATCAGCGATTTTCTATTCAAAATCAGTGTTTTTTCCCAAAAAAACTTATGGTTATGCATTTTTAATATTTCATCACGATAATACATATGAATGAAACGTTTCCTGAAAAAAATGAGGACTTTGAGTAAAAAACTTTTCAAAAAATCAATTTTTCCAGTTTTTAGCGATTTTCACATAAAAATCCCCATTTTACCCCAAAAACACAAATTTCCCGTTGTCTATGAAACGCCGATTTTTAATATGTCACAACCAGGTATCCAATGAAGTGAAATTGATATAAATTGTTTCTGTTGCAATTAGTTTGAGGTTGAGCCACTTTTCACCTCAGATTCCCTGGACTATAAAGGTATTACTGCCGGTGGCGTAACTATTTGTATAAAGATTTATATTTCAGAAGGTAGAAGACCTGGATGCTTCATATCTTGTATGCAGATACCTTATGTTAAGAAGTTTCCTTCTGTCATATGTCCATTGTCCTTGACCTCATTTTCATGGTTCAGCGACTGCTTGTAAAAAAATTACAGTTTTTTGTCATGTAATTTTTTCACTTATTATGAGTTATAGGATAACTATATTTGGTATATGGCTTCCTTGTAACGTCTACATGTCCGCCAGACAGGGTTCACCTGACCTCGACCTCATTTCGTGGATCAGTGATCAAGTTTTAAAGTTAAGTGATTAGGTCCGTATCTCAAGTACTATAAGCAGTAGGTCAACTATATGTGGTGTATGGAATGATTGTAATGGTTACATGTCAGTCTGGCAGGTTTCATCTTACCTTGACCTAATTTTCATGGTTCATTGGTCAATGATAAGTTTTTGTGTTTTGGTCTGGTTTTCAAGTACTATAAGCTATAGGTCAACTATATTTGGTGTATGGAATGATTGTAAGGTGTACATGTCTGTCTGGCAGGTGTAATCTGATCTTGACCCCATTTCATGGTTCATTGGTCAATGTTAAGTTTGTGTGTTTTTGTCTGTTTTTCAATTACCATAAGCAATAGGTCAACTACATTTGGTGTTTAAAAAAATTGTAAGGTGTATATGTCTGTCTGACAGGATTTATCTGACCTTGACTTCATTCTCATATATGTTTAAAAATGTTAAGTTTATGTGATACTTTTAGTAAAGCCTTTATCTTTAAGACTTTCAACATAAAATCAATGGTCAGTAAAGCAGGCGAGACATTTCAACTTGTCCACTCGTTTTCCTTTTTACAAGCTTTCGTTTAGTAACCAAGTCACCTCAAGTTTCTGAAACATTTTATAGAAACACCAAATAAAAAAAGGACAGGTGCTTTGAAACACCCAAGATATGTGTTAATGACTCATTAATTTTTTTCTGCAATGAAATGCAGGGTTTATAAACTTCCTACAACTGTCAAATTCAAGGGAATATTTTTTTTCAACCCTTTTTCGTATGATACAGGATGTGACGTACTATGATTTGGTGGTATTACACCTGGATGAGTAGTGCAATAATAAGAACTGGCATTCTTAATTTGATGCATATATTTGTATTTCAGATTGTCCTAGAATCACAAAAATAAATTCCTGCAATAATTTCTGAATTTAACAGTATTTAAATTAGATGTAAAGAAAGTTGATATCAAGATATATCCAATTCTCATGAGCTGCTAAACCTATATATATTTCTCGCATGGTCAATATTCCCTTTTTCTTAAACAGAAAAGTCAGTGACTGGTTGATTTAGGCTTTTGCACATACCAGTATGACATCATATATGTCCTGTTCAGGAATTAAACTTTAACATAAGGCTTTTTAAAATTTTCTGTATGCTTCAGAATTGTAATATAAAAAGGAGTAGGGGCTAAAAATTTTTTGGTTAATAATGTGAGATCTGAAATAGTAACTTAAAGATGAGACTAAAACTCACAGTGGGAAATCTAGTGAACGAAAACAAAAGAAAATTCACTCTTCTTATGATAGAGCCAAGAAAGTCAAAAATAAAACAATGCCAGTGATGATACTGATCAAAAGTTATTTTTAAATAATAATTGTACTTTTTAAAGAAATTATTTGCTAAACTGTGTTATGAGAAATATATATGCAAATACACGATGTTTTATGTTCAAAATTTATCGAGATAATTCCATTAGAAGCTTGTGAAATTGAAATTTAAAAAATGCCAATCTTTGCTGCATATTGATAAAAAAAATTGGAAAAAATCATGTACATACAAAATCTAAAGATCTTTTGGGTCACCAATTTTCATAGTGTTCCACAAAGTCCTTAGCATGATACAATTTCCCAAAGTATACTTATTTTTTCACACCTCAGTTATTGAGCACACCGGTCTGCTCTTGTATGTACATTCAATAGAGAAATATTGTCTTTTCGTGAATATAAAAATTTAAAAGTCTGTCTGTGCAGGTTAAGAAATTAAAGATAACTATTCTTTATAAAGTAGGTATCTTTCTACTATTTTTTATACAATTTTTAAGAAAAGGTCGTCTCTATTTTCGTACATGTATTTGCCGTCTTCTCGATCTATTCACATTCAATGTTTACATCAAAATAAGGTCCGTTCGAATTTGCTTAGTAACTTAATTTCAAAATTGCCAATCTTTGCTGCATATCAATCGATTCCTTTGGAATTTTTACTCTGACTTTCTCTGATCTAGCTGTATATATATACGGATAATTAGCATGTTCCAGAGAGGTATACAGCCAGTACAAAAATAAATTGAAGTTGGTACTCCAGGAATTTATTCGTATAGCAACATTTTAAACCAATTTAATATCCAGCTTCTATAGCCTGCTGTGCTAGTTGTTTGCTACTTAAGGAGGGAAATGATAACATTAAATGGAAGTTTGTTTTTATTTCAACTTATTTCTATTTTTGCTATTTACCAGAACGTTTTCCCGTGAATCCATAATTAATAGCGTCCTTGCTAAAAATGGGACAAACATTGAGAAGACCTAGTTTTCAGTGTTTACAGGGGAGGGAATATTTTGTCACTAGATTTCCCACTGCTCAAAAACAGGTTTTATTGAGCTCAATGTGTAAAAGTTTGAAGATATACATATATATATGTTATTTAATGAGATATAGAGAATGGTGCAGTAATTGTTTTTTATGTCAATATAAATATGAAAATAAAGAGAAGTGTACTTAAATATTAGGCAAGTTGTAAGATAGTAGGTCAAACTTAGCTTTTAATATGATGAATGCTTTCATCATCCATTTTGTTTCTAATTAAACAGCTCTTTGAGCCTTAGGCAATATATGTATCATCATTTGACGTGTCAATGGGCAACAGATTCGACAGATATAAAAATTAGAGAGAAAAATTGTCCAACACAAAAAACTGTTTCTTCTACTTAATTTGCATAAAGATTCAGTAAAATAGTGGTTCCCATAAACATGTTGATAAGCAAATAGGTGGAAAGGGAGAAAGTTCTTATATGGCAGTTATTATGCTGTTATAAAATACAGGAGTTTACACCTCAAGTATGAACAAACTTTAAAGGACTCCACCCAGCACTTGAGACAAAATCTGTAAATTTCAGCAATACTGGGTATAATTAAAAGAATATATAAGGTGTACATGTATATATTCATAAAACAAATGTATTAAAGAGCAATTTCACCATATGAGCATTGGTACATTTTTTTTACTCCACAGAGAGACTCTACAAGTGAATTTTGTTACCACATGCAGTCTTTTTGTATGTCTGCAGTTTTGTTTGTTTATGATATTGAGCATTTTTTTTAATTTTTGACATTTTGGAGTTTGATACTTTTGACAATGTGCCTAAATTATCTTTTTGATGCAACACATTAAGTTGAATCTTGTAAAATAGAAAACAAATTACCGTAACCATTGCTATAGGCAAAGTTTTGTTGTTAGGGAGAAATTACAATGATTTTGCCAAAAAAATGTGCTTTACATTGTGTTACATTTTAAACAGTGTATATATACATGTATGATTATCTTCATGTTAACCAGGTTGGGTCCTAAATATAAATCAATTAAGGCATATTTATTGGGTTTATTGCCACCATTTAACTGGTTGCTAGGTAACAGAATATACGATATAAATGCTACCATTTTCAGAAGGTCTGTGGAAAAGAGTTACAACATGACAAATTATATGAGATTTTGGGGTGGGCCAAAAAAAGCCCTTATTACCCCTTGTTCATTGACAAAAAGAAGATTTTCAGGTGAACAGTGTTTTGTATATTTTTCAATTAATCACATATTTCTGTTGCCATGGAGGCAATGTACATTATTTTGACTTTTGAAAGTCATTAATGATTAAACAAATAGCCAATGAAAATGTTGCAGTATAGTTTGATGATGCTGGATAAGCCAATCAAGTAAACACATTTTTCATATCACTTATTCATATCATATTCTTCAAGCGAGAAATAAATAACAAAGCCAAACCATAAGAGAATTTCATTTCGATGGTTAATAAAGTTGTTGTCCTAGAGCTTATGGATTAGTAAATCTTCGTACACTTCATGAAAATAAATGGAAATGGTTTTATCGTACTCTTATTGCGCAGCTGTTTTATAGTTAAACTAAGATATATCATTCTATAGCTGCTTTTCTATTTTATTTAAATGTGTGGTATTATGCATAATAATGCACTTTATATGTGACATAGCATTTACTTAAATTTTCTATTCAATTGATTTAAGGAAGAAGAAAAAGCCGTTAATGACAGGTGAAAAAGGTATTTTTGTTGTCAGATATTATTTATAACTTGGCAAATCATGATGTAAGCTTGATCTGATAGTTTTAAAAATAATGATGGATTGATTGGTGTTTAACAACACTTTCATCACTGTTGTGCTATTTCGTGGCAGTCAGGTTTTTTTTTGGTGGAGTAAGCCGGAGATAACCACCGACCTACGGTAGGAAAATTAAAAATAATGGTTAAAGCTGTCACATTATACATTGAAAAAAAATAATATAGTTGGCCTGTCATGTCAACTCAATTGTTGCCTTAAATTTGCACACAAAAAAAACATTTTGCCCATCTCCTTAATAGATCAATTTGGGGGTTATATCTTTAATTTCTAACTTTATTGATGATTTACATTCTGAAATCATTATGTAGATTATTTAAAGAGGAGAACAAATTGTGTTCCCCTTGTATAAAACATGATTTTTTTGTAAGATGATAATTTGTACCACTATTTAGATGAAATTAAAGTGACTATATAAGTACCTCCCTTCCAGAAATTATTTGTATTTCATAGAATGTCTTATTTAAAGAGATTGTTTTTTGAGATTCTGCATCAATAAATATCGTCCTCCCTTTTAAGGAGAGACTTTTTATTCTGTCAATGTAGGAACATTTATTGACATTTTCACCAATTTTATGTAGATTCAATAATGTTTTTCTGGAAAGTTATTTAACATGAAAGGTTCTGTACACTTACCAACTAATGTAAGAAATACTGTAGCTATAATTTGCATCAAGTGGTAAATATGTATTGTCTTTGATAGCATAAAACCGACTGCAGTCATTTTTTCTAACAAAATTTCATTCTGAATGTCAGAAATATCTTTAGAAACAGAAATGAAGCTGACAAACACAGATGGAGCTTACCAAACAAGTGGAAACTGCTGTTTCAAAATTATGAATAGTTATGAATCTTTTGAATTATGTACACATTTTTAATTTATTTGTAGTTATACAATAAATGTTTGTGTTTCATAAAAAGTTCACTTTCTGTTGTTAGTAAAACATACACTAAGCATATTGTGTTAATTTGGTGCATAATTTATATTACATTTTCTATTTCAGGAGGTGGTGATGATAAAGATGGTTATGAAATGGTTGCCATTGCAGAGAATGATAACACATTAGAATCCTTTAAAGAAGAGACAGATACTCATAACCTTAGTGTGGTCAGTAATGATAACTCACTCATGGAAATTAGAGAGACTGATTTCAAAGATTTTAAAAAACAGAATTCATTCAACATGTTCAGGTCAGCCTCTGGTCAAGAATTGACAAAAAAGAACTTGGAAACTGGAAGAAGACAAGGATCCTGGACAAGTTTAGTTAGTCATGCTCGTAGAATGTCAGAACCCACAATGACAATAGAGCTTCAGGAAGAAAAAGTCCAACCTCCTTCGGCTAAATATGAAGAAAATTACCCTGATAATGATTGGTATTATGTCGAGGATCAATCAGATTTTACTTTCCCAAATCCTCCAGAAGAATCGCAACTTAATAAGATCTTCAATTCAGTTGAGAAGGAGGAACGATTTTATGAAAACTATATGAGAAATAATACAGGCAAAGCGGCCACAGTGGATGGTATGTGGCATGAGGATAGTCCAGCGCCGCGGTATGAAGACAAGGTGATAACTGAACGCAACAATAACAAGATTGACTTTAACATCAGTTTTGAAAATATTCAGCAACAGAGTAATCGTAGGTTACCATCAGTTGACGACTCATCCAAATATGCGGTGAAACTGTCAGAAAGTTATCACAAACCGGGACATGAAATGACAAAAACATATGAACTGAAGAACTTCCTTGACAAGTTTAGCACTCAACCCAGTACAGAGAATTTACAGGATCGTGGACAAAACAGACAACAATACCATTGGAGTAACTCACAGGAAGATCAGTCTAGAAGTAATGACAATGTTTTACAAAACGTTTCTAGAAGGTTATCATTTGAGGAAAATGTCAAGCAGAATGAAAGTGAGGCTAAGGAACAGAATACACCACAACCTCAATTCATTAAAGGCAGCAGAGAGAACAGATCCAGAGATGGTCAGACAGATGAAATAAAATCTCAGGATATAGAAGTATCACCACAGAGAATAGAGGAACAAAATCCACATTACGATGAAGACGATGATGGTCAAATACGTATGGTTCATCGTAAAACTTTTTTGTCCCCACAAAAAAGATTAGTACGTGGTTCACCGGGTGGTATATCTAACCAAAGCCGTGGTACAACAGGTCACATGTCCATCCAAAGTCCTCAGACACCAGGTAACATGTCCAGCCAAAGTCATGGTACACCAGGTCATATGTCTGGCCAAAGCCAAAGTACACCAGATCATATGTCCAGCCAAAGTCCAGTTACACCAGGTCACATGTCCAGCCAGAGTCCTCAGACATCAGGTCACATATACAGCCTAAGTCATGGTACACCAGATCACATGTCTAGTCAAAGTAGTGGGACTCCAGGTCACATGTCTGGCCAAAGTCCTCAGAAACCAGGTTACATATCTAGTCAAAACCCTAGTACACCATCCAACCTGTCTAGCCAAAGCCATGGGACACCAGGTTACATATCCAGCCAAAGTCCCCAGACACCATCTAACATATCTAGCCAAAGTCATGGGACACCAGGTTATATATCTAGCCGAAGACGTGTTACACCATCTAACGTGTCTAGCCAAAGCCATGGGACCCCAGATCCAATGTCCAGTCGAAGTCCTCAGACACCAGGTTATGTAACTAACCAAAGCCATGGTACAACAGATCAAATATCTAACCAAAGCCGTGGTACACCAGATCAAATATCTAACCAAATCCGTGGTACACCAGATCAAATATCTAACCAAATCCGTGGTACACCAGATCAAATATCTACACAAAGCCGTGGTACACCAGATCAAATATCTAACCAAAGCCGTGGTACACCAGATCAAATATCTACACAAAGCCGTGGAACCCCAGATCAAATATCTAACCAAAGTCCTCACACAACAAGTTTCATGAACAACCAAATTCGTAGAGTACCAATTAACATGACAAATCAAACTCCTGCAATACCAGGTCACATATCTAGCCAAAGTTATAGTTCACCAGGTCGCATGTCTAGCCAAACTCCTGCAACACCTGATAACATGTCTGGTCAAAGACCTATTACACTAGGTCAGATAATCAGCCAACGTTCTGCCACACCAGATTACATGTCTGGCCAAAGTCCTGTTACACCAGGGCAGATGTCAAGCCAAAGTCCTGTAAGTCTAAGTCACATGTCTGGCCAAAGTCCTGTTACACCAGGGCAGATGTCAAGCCAAAGTCCTGTAAGTCTAAGTCACATGTTTGGCCAAAGTCCTGTAACACTAGGTCCGATAACTAGATACAGTAATAGCACACTAGATGACATTAATAATCAAAGCCATGAAACACGTGGTTGGATGGCTGATAGTGCACCAATTCACTTGAATAATCAAAGCCAAAGTGAACCAAGTCAAATGACTGACCAAAGCCTTGGTTTAACAAGTATGAGAACAATCCAAAACCATGGTACACCAGGCAGCAGTAAAAACAAAGGGATGACAGATGCTTTTCAGTTTGGAGAATATTCTGATGACATGGTGTATAGGTCCCCAAACAAAAATAGAGCAAATCAGAGACAAGAGTTAGAACCTATAGAGATTGAAGTTGAGATGTCAAAGAAATATAGGAACAATGTTAAGGCTGGAGATACACCAGGATTACCGCCAATGTATTTAACATCAACACCAAACAAACAAACAACAGAGCATTATGAACATGTGTTGTCTGAGGAGGGAGATGTTCTTTTCCATCAAAGAGAGGCATATGATACAGCTAACAAGTCAAACAATGAAAGAAATGAGTTCTTGAAGGAGATTCATGATGATATATTTCAGTGTATCATTCAGACAAATGATTCTGGTAAAATGGACATCAATGCTGGGAGATTGGATGATGATGTCAGCAATTGTCAGACAGGGCACCAGTTGTCACCTATTAGTGAAGAGAGTACAGAACAAAGACATTCAGGAGGTTAGAAACAGTAATTAATAATAATAGTAACCAAATTAACACATACAATTCTTTCCAGAATTAATATGAAATCTATATCAGTAATGTCTCTGACAAGTTTGAAAATCATTGCCAATCAACTAATTTTAAAGTAGTTATGCCCCTTGGAAATATGAATTCTATGGAAATTGCATTGTTAGCAGTCTCAAGCTACTTATATATTAATATTATGTCAGATTTTGTATCTATTATTTTTTGGGGAAAAAATTGTGTGTTAGAAAGAAAACTAAACGATAGAATTTTAAGATGAATTATGAGAAGATAATTCTTATAATGTGCTTTCAGAATATGAAAAGAAAAACTTTTTTTTCTTGATACAAAACAAAAAAGCGTAAATTCCAAACACATTCCTCTATAAAAGAAGGTTATCTGAGTTATCTCCCCTTATAAGGCAAAGTTTTAAAAAAATTGAACTATATATATATATACAAAAAATGTTCTTTAGTTTTTAAAAGCAGTCTTAATTATTATAAGGATAAAACAAACACTTTTCTTTCTCTAGATGACAAATTAATTACAGTCCTTTCAAAATTTTGTATATTTTGTTAAAGATCTAGATCCATTATTTTCTGCTATTTTACAATCCAAGATGGTGAAAGACAGACGATCTACCTTAAGAGATTGAAGATTTTGATCTTCTTCAATAGATTTACACTCAGCCTTAAATTATTTGTCAAAACATTACAGATGTAAGGACTGAGATGATATTTTATTTCCTCTTTGCATCTGCTATAAAAGCAAGTAAATTTCTTTAGAATTAAAATTAAAGCAATTTGAAAATAAAAGAATTGAACATTTAAGTTTCAATGTTCAATTAAAAGAAAAAAGTAATACATTGAATTTAGAGCTAATGTACAAAAAAGTTTTATAATTTTGGACAATGTACATATATAAATAAAAAGTTTTTCTTCAGAAATGCACAGAATTATATTTTTGAAATAAAATCAACATCACAGGGACTAAACTTAACACTCGCCTAGTCACCCAAGGCGACCAGATTTTTGGCTGGGCGAATATATTTTATCATCCAGATCGCCCCCTCTCTAAACACGGTTTCTTATCTCTCTTTTAAAGCTACAATTATTTCATTAATTTTTAGTGTTTTTATGCCCCCACCACAGCGGAGGTTTTGTCCCTTTATAACGTTATGTGCAAGCGGGGGCATCATCTGTGTCCCATGGACACATTCTCCATTTATTGTCTAAACTGTTGGAGATGCATTCCAGTTGTCCAGGGAGTCATTACAATATAAATTTATATAAGAAAATGTTGTAAAAATGCCTATGAGACAACTCTCCACCAGAGACCAAATGACATAGACGTTAACAACTACGTATTTTGTCATGTATAATACACACTTTTTTAACCCCAAAAATGTTGTTGGTAGAGGGGATGCTTATTATACACAATTGTAGACGGTTTTGATTTTTAAAAATTTTTTTTTTCTTTTTTTTTATTAATATCCTTTTTTTCTTTATTGTATATATTCAAGACGTTTTTCATTTTATTTATTTATTTATTTGTACTTTTTTTTTTTATAACGTTTTTTTCCTTCATTATTGAATATTCAAAGTACAGGTGTGATATCCTGCATGAGTGAGCTTAAAGGGTAATTAAGGATTAAGTATGGGTGTGTAGCAATTGAATAATCATGTCAATGTCTCAATATAATAACCTCAGGCAGTGCTCTAAATCAGCCGATATCTATTTGAGCCACAACTCATTTGCGTCAATGCTACTTCTGCGCCACTTCATTTTGAAAACTAAGGTTTCATTTGCGCCAAAAAAACAATCATAAAATTGCGCCAATTTTATCAATTTTTTTTTTTTTACTTAATATGTATTATATCTACTAAATGATTGACTTTCCTCCTTCTTTATCCGGGCTTGCTGGGACCAGCAGTTTAATTTAAACGAATGGCGGAGTTACAGTCATTTATACAAAAATATGCTGAATTAAAACTTAAATCGGTAAATAGCACTTCACTGTACATCTCCATCTAATTCATCATTTATTTAATAAATGCCTGTCGGAATTTGTGATCTTCTACAATGAAGATAGGTTTCCCTCTATCAGACTCTATTTATTAACAATATATCAGACATCTTTAGATGGGAAAAACTATTCTATTACTGAACAATTTATGTATTGGTGAGTTTTCTTTATTTTGGTGAGTGTTCAGTTTAAGTGGAAAGGTTAGGTATAGTACATGTTACATATATAATATGGTAAAAAGATATACAGGTACATGTGGCGCAATTTGATTCCATTTTTTAGGGCCCCGCCGAATGGCAAACTCCCTATAGTGATCAGTCTGTCCGTCCATAACAAATTGTGTCCGCTCTATATCTAGAGAACCGTTATGATTTCAAAGTTTATACTTGACATGTATATTAACCAACACCAGAGTGTGTGTCATAATGTATGTACAACTTCCTAGGTCAAAGGTCATGGTCAATAACTTTGGTTTAAGTTGACAACCCCATGTCCTATGGTAAAGATCCGTGTCCTCTCTATATCTTGAGAACCGTTATGATTTCAAAGTTTATACTTGACATGTATATAAACCAACACCAGAGGGTGTGTCATAATTTATGTACAACTTCCTAGGTCAAAGGTCAAGGTCAAAAACTTGGGTTTTAGTTGACAACCCTATGTCCTATGGTAAAGATAGTGTCCGCTCTATATCTTGAGAACCATTATGATTTCAAAGTTTATACCTGACATGTATATAAACCAACACCAGAGGGTGTGTCATAATTTATGTACAACTTCCTAGATCAAAGGTCAAGGTCAAAAACTTTGGTTTCGGTTGACAAATTTTTTACCACACATTATTCACAGCGGGGCCCACAGAGATGGCTCCCATCTCAATGAAATCTAGTTGGCGCAATTTATACCATCAGAAAAATATAGAGTGGCGCAGTTGATACCTTTTCAAAACTTGGTTGGGCCCCTGAAATTTCAACTATTCCCCTGAAAAAAATATTATGGGGCCCAGCTTGCCCCTGGAGAGTTAGTTAAGTCCCTGCATCAAAATAAACACAAATGTTAAAAGTCTAGCGCGAAATTCATCCTTCACAGGATTTATCAAGGCGTTAAATGAATTCTATGACCTTATGTCATTGTATTGTTAAGTGTTTCTATGACTACATCATCGTATTGTTACACTGTTTTTATCCATCTTATTGTTCAGGTGATTCCTGTTTTGTGGAAAAGAAACAGCTCTTATCTGTTTAGTTGAGGTCTGAATATCTTTATAAAATAATTTTCCATTTGTTCTCAGTATATCTCAGTGTCTTTTTTTATGCCCCCGCCATAGGCAACGGGGGCATTTAAGTGTTATCCTTGACCCTCCGTCCGTCTGTCCGTCCGTCCAATCTACGTTTCAGCACTCTTAACTTAAGTTGGGGTCATGCAAATTTTATGAAACTCATACACAATGCTAAGTACCACAACATGCAAACAGAGTTCCAATTTGGGTTGTGAGTCGTTTACCATTCCAGAGTTATGCCTCTTTGAAAATTGCATAGCTTGAGCGGAGGCATTCATGTCATCAGACTCATTCTTCTTTTATTACATTTTTAGAACGGGAAAATTTTGAATATATTATTTCCACATCATAAAGTGTGTTTTCATAACAAAATTTTCCATGTGCTTGGGTCTTGTATTTGTTGTCTATGAACCCTGACCCTTTCACAAAGGCTATTTCCTGTAACGTCATAGAATCACTTAACAATACGATGATGTAACGTCAGAGAAACACCCAACAACGTCTTGATAAGTCTCGTAAAGGATAAAAGCGCTAGACTTTTAACATTTGTGTTTATTTTGATGTTAATTTCATTTCAAAAATATACATATATATATATATATATATATGTTAGACTCAGATCGACGTCGGGTCTCTCTAATCGACGTTAGTTCCTCCAATCAACATCCAATGTGACATCACACTCTCATATAAGTGTCCAATTATCCAATATATTTACCCTCTAATCAACGTCCAATGTTACATCACACTCTCATATAAGTATCCAATATATTTACCCTCTAATCGACATCCAATGTGACGGCATGTATTACTAAAACGACTTATGATCAATCTTCGCTCATCAATGTCTAATATCATTCAATCGTTTATTTTGAGTTTGAACTGTGTTTATATTATCTGTATTGTTTTGTCCATGTTTAAAGCTGCTATAAAAAAGTAATGGTTTTTATGCATCGTTCTCATGTTTATACTTTACAAATCATAATGACTTAGTTGATGTATACATGGTATATGGGATGGAACAACAAAGTAGGCAACATCCCGTCCCAACCATATCAAAAAAACATATTACATGTACATGCATGATAATATTTGGTGAAAGAAATTAATCCACTCGATCTATGTTGTCTATTCCTTTCCCATTTCATATAAATAAATGAAATGTGGATATACGACAATGAGACAACAACCCAACGACAAAAATAACCAAAAGACATCTAGAGGGCAATTATACAGTCTTAAACATAAGACAGAATAAAGAAGTACAGCCAATTGTTGAAAAGTTTTATTATTTGGACTCTGCAAGATTTAAAATCTTATATTTTTCAACAACTTTTTAAATTTTCGGTTCAACTAACTATTTGCATTCCCGAATGCCAATATCAAATCAGGAATATGACAGTTGTTTTCATTAAATAAAGTTGTGACGTCATTGCCGCAAGTCCGTAAAAAGGACGTCAATTAGAGAAGCCAAACATTGGACGTAAATAGAGGCTGGGGTATAGAATTTGCCGTCAATTTGGAATCTTATTTCATTATGATTTGGAAGTTTTTTTGGGAGAACGGACGTCGATTAGTGACCAGACGTCAATCTAAGTTTTATATATATATATTGGATAAATAATTATCAGTAATATTCTTTAATGTTAGATTTCAAATAAAAAATATATCCAGGTAAAAGTTGGAAAGAAATTATGTTACTGGCCTAAAACACTCAAAAGTAAGGATTTGAATACATTCTCCTCAGAAGATATTTTATTGAGAAAGTCTTTTGCTCTTTATTTCAGAGTTTGTGCAGACATTATCTGGGCAGCATTCAGAAGAGTTTATAGTCCCAAGAATTGTTATAGACGAAGAAGAGAATGAAATAAGACTAGACCAGTTGTCAAACCAAGGCAATGACATGGACTCAACACTTCAATACAATAGCAGTAGATCAAATCAAGCCTCTGCATCAGAAAGTGGAACATCTTCAGTGTCAGAAAATCTAGACTCTCTACACTCACATCTCCAAACTCCAGAACAATAACTGAATTTCTGTTACAAATAATGTCTGCCCTTGAAAGTAGAAAGTTAAGACACCATCAGCATCCAGGTCACAAAAGCTTATGTTTTCAAGTACAATATGAAAATATTCCCTCCTCTGAAGAAGAGAGCATTACATAAAAAATGAGTATATCATAGTATAAAACATTATCACTATTAGTGCTCTAGGGTTTACTTTAGTCCTCACTAGTCATTGAAGATTGAACAATCTGAATCTATAAGTTGAAAATTTAAATAATGAATCAACAAATTAAGAGTTCATTTTATATCTTTTTCTATCACTGGTATCACAATGGTATTTGTCCTTTAATTTTGTTATATTTGTGCTCCATACAATCCTACAGTGGTCCTGTCAGTGATTCTTACATTTCCATCCATATTGACAAGAAGTCCCAAGATAATTTTACACAAAGCAAAATGCAAATTCATCCACAAATGAATGGAACAAATTTTGAAATCTTTTTCTCTGAAATAAAATAAGAATTTGTTCAATGGTCCTTTGACTGTCTGATTTGTAATATGTTGGATTAACCTCCATCTGTACCTCCAAAAATTTAATTGTTTATTTGTAAAATGAAAAGTTTTGTTATTAATTTTGTGTTGTTATGCCATTGGTGTTTAATATACAGCTCCTTTAAGTTTATTAATGAAAAATATGTCTTATAAATTGCATAAATTGTGGAAGGAAACATTACAGACATGCACTCAATGATCTTTCCCCACATTCATGATGGCCTTAAAGAGGAAGGAATTTTCATGATGATAAAGATTTAGAGTTTAGTTTTTGAGATTCCCAATTTACATGTCAAAGTCACATATATCTTTTTAGGAAGAATTGAATGAAAATTTTAAATTCAATTGTAAAACAGCAAAACTGATAGTTCATACTTTAATGTATAAATGCAGTGTACTTTTAAATTTGATGTAGTTTTTTAAACATCTCATGTATATTTGTTGTAACTGTAAAATTTATTATGTTTGTTAGTTTTATCTATTAAATATGTTAATAAATTTTAATTGATCTTCTTTTTATTTTGCTTACTTTTTCTCTCAACAATGATTGCTTTGACTGTTTCATACATCTTTGTACAATAGAGTTTTAATCTATCTAATCAAATTTAACAAGAATAAAACAGCTAATTGATTGCCACATTGCTTTCTATGTAAAATTCTGCTATTTCAAGCATTCATAGCTATTTTGTCTTAATATAAAAAAAAGATGAGGTATGATTGCCAGTGAGACAACTCTACACCAGATACCAAATGATGTAGAAATTAGCAACAATAGGTCACCATATAGTCTTCAGCAATGAGCAAAACCAACAAAGTATATTCCACTATAAAAGGCCCTGACATGACAAAATGCGAAAACTATGACCCAATTTATGACACAACAAAAAATGAAAAAACCAAGAAACACACAGAAAACAACTACAATCACTGAATTACAGGCTCCTGACTTGTAACAGGCAAATACAGACAGCAAACAACTACAATCACTGAATTACAGGCTCCTGACTTGTAACAGGCACATACAGACAGCAAACAACTACAATCACTGCATTACAGGCCCCTGACTTGTAACAGGCACATACAGACAGCAAACAACTACAATCACTGAATTACAGGCTCCTGGCTTGTAACAGGCAAATACAGACAGAAAACAACGACGACCACTGAATTACAGGCTCCTGACTTGTAACAGGCAAATACAGTCAGCAAACAACTACAATCACTGAATTACAGGCTCATGACTTGTAACAGGCACATACAGACAGAAAACAACTACAATCACTGAATTACAGACTCCTGACTTGTAACAGGCAAATACAGACAGAAAACAACTACAATCACTGAATTACAGGCACCTGACTTGTAACAGGCAAATACAGACAGCAAACAACTACAATCAGTGAATTACAGGCTCCTGACTTGTAACAGGCAAATACAGACAGCAAACAACTACAATCACTGAATTACAGGCTCCTGACTTGTAACAGGTAAATACAGACAGCAAACAACTACAATCACTGAATTACAGACTCCTGACTTGTAACAGGCACATACAGAAAGAAAACAACTACAATCACTGAATTACAGGCTCCTGACTTGTAACAGGCAAATACAAACAGCAAACAACTACAATCACTGAATTACAGGCTCCTGACTTGTAACAGGCAAATACAGACAGCAAACAACTACAATCACTGAATTACAGGCACCTGACTTGTAACAGGCAAATACATGCAGCAAACAACTACAATCACTGAATTACAGGCTCCTGACTTTGAACAGCCACATACAGACAGCAAACAACTACAATCACTGAATTGCAGGCTCCTGACTTTAGACACGCACATACAGACAGCAAACAACGACAACCACTGAATTAAAGGCTCCTGACTTGTAACAGGCAAATACAGACAGCAAACAACTACAATCACTGAATTACAGGCTCCTGACTTTAGACAGGCACATACAGACAGCAAACAACGACAAACACTGAATTACAGGCTCATGACTTGTAACAGGCAAATACAGACAGCAAACAACTACAATCACTGAATTACAGGCTCCTGACTTGTAACAGGCAAATATAGACAGAAAACAACAACAATCACTGAATTACAGGCTCCTGACTTGTAACAGGCACATACAGACAGAAAACAACTACAATCACTGAATTACAGGCTACTGACTTGTAACAGGCAAATACAGACAGCAAACAACTACAATCACTGAATTACAGACTCCTGACTTGTAACAGGCAAATACAGACAGAAAACAACTACAATCACTGAATTACAGGCACCTGAATTGTAACAGGCAAATGCAGACAGAAAACAACTACAATTACTGAATTATAGGCTCCTGACTTGTAACAGGCAAATACAGACAGCAAACAACTACAATCACTGAATTACAGGCTCCTGACTTGTAACAGGCAAATACAGACAGCAAACAACTACAACCACTGAATTACAGGCTCCTGACGTGTAACAGGCACATACAGACAGCGAACAACTACAATCACTGAATTACAGGCTCCTGACTTGTAACAGGCAAATATAGAATGTCTGGCTCCTGACTTGTAACAGGCAAATATAGAATGTCTGGCTCCTGACTTGTAACAGGCAAATATAGAATGTCTGGTTCTTGACTTGTAACAGGCAAATATAGAATGTCTGGCTCCTGACTTGTAACAGGCAAATATAGAATGTCTGGCTCCTGACTTGTAACAGGCAAATACAAACAGCAAACAACTACAATCACTGAATTACAGGCTCCTGACTTGTAACAGGCAAATACAGACAGCAAACAACTACAATCACTGAATTACAGGCACCTGACTTGTAACAGGCAAATACATGCAGCAAACAACTACAATCACTGAATTACAGGCTCCTGACTTTGAACAGCCACATACAGACAGCAAACAACTACAATCACTGAATTGCAGGCTCCTGACTTTAGACACGCACATACAGACAGCAAACAACGACAACCACTGAATTAAAGGCTCCTGACTTGTAACAGGCAAATACAGACAGCAAACAACTACAATCACTGAATTACAGGCTCCTGACTTTAGACAGGCACATACAGACAGCAAACAACGACAAACACTGAATTACAGGCTCATGACTTGTAACAGGCAAATACAGACAGCAAACAACTACAATCACTGAATTACAGGCTCCTGACTTGTAACAGGCAAATATAGACAGAAAACAACAACAATCACTGAATTACAGGCTCCTGACTTGTAACAGGCACATACAGACAGAAAACAACTACAATCACTGAATTACAGGCTACTGACTTGTAACAGGCAAATACAGACAGCAAACAACTACAATCACTGAATTACAGACTCCTGACTTGTAACAGGCAAATACAGACAGAAAACAACTACAATCACTGAATTACAGGCACCTGACTTGTAACAGGCAAATGCAGACAGAAAACAACTACAATTACTGAATTATAGGCTCCTGACTTGTAACAGGCAAATACAGACAGCAAACAACTACAATCACTGAATTACAGGCTCCTGACTTGTAACAGGCAAATACAGACAGCAAACAACTACAACCACTGAATTACAGGCTCCTGACGTGTAACAGGCACATACAGACAGCGAACAACTACAATCACTGAATTACAGGCTCCTGACTTGTAACAGGCAAATATAGAATGTCTGGCTCCTGACTTGTAACAGGCAAATATAGAATGTCTGGCTCCTGACTTGTAACAGGCAAATATAGAATGTCTGGTTCTTGACTTGTAACAGGCAAATATAGAATGTCTGGCTCCTGACTTGTAACAGGCAAATATAGAATGTCTGGCTCCTGACTTGTAACAGGCAAATATAGAATTACAGGCTCCTGACTTGTAACAGGCAAATATAGAATGTGTGGGATTAAACATCCTTCCCTAACCGTGGTGTAACAGCACAACATAAGAACAAACTGTAAAAACCATTTGGAAATACTGGAATCATCAGATTGGCATGAAGCTAAAAAAATAACTAACAAAAAGACAAAAGGCACTATGTGTGTTCTTTTTGACCTATCTGGAATTAGTGTTTCTATACCTATATAAAATGTGGTATGATTGCCAATGAGACCACTTTCCATCATAGTCCAAATGATATGGAATTTAGCTCATAGTTCTAAATTGCTTGATGCTTAATCATTCTAACCATAAAAAACAATACTATGAACAAAGGAAAGTCCAACTAAGGTGAACCTAGGTGCTCTGAAATGCTGAGCAGTTTCTGCTCCAATAGTAGCATCTGTAGATTTACTCAAAAGTCCAACTAAGGTGAACCTATGTGCTCTGGAAGGGTAAGCAGTTTCAGATCCAATAGTGGCATCAGTTGTGTTACTGAAAGTCCAACTAAGGTGAACCTAGGTGCTCTGGAAGGGTAAGGAATTGTGCTCTAATAGTAGCATCTGTTGTGTTACTCAGTCCAACTAAGGTGAACCTGGGTACTCTGGAAGGGTGACAGTTTCTGCTCTAATAGTAGCATCTGTTGTGTTACTGAAAACCAACAAAGGTGAACCTAGGTGCTCTGGAAGGGTAGGCAGTTTCTACTCCAATAGTGGCATCTGTTGTGTTACTCAAAAACCAACTAAGGTGTACCTAGGTGCTCTGGAAGGGTAAGCCGTTTCTGATCCAATAGTGGCATCTGTTGTGTTACTCAAAAACCAACTAAGGTGTACCTAGGTGGTCTGGAAGGGTAAGTAGTTTCTGCTCCAATAGTGGCATCTGTTGTGTTACTCAAAAACCAACTAAGGTGTACCTAGGTGGTCTGGAAGGGTAAGTAGTTTCTGCTCCAATAGTGGCATCTGTTGTGATGATGATCAAATAAAGATCAAGTATAGTGATGATCCTTTTTTATATTTTAAGGTCACATGTCAGACTATCATTGATCAAATGGCTTATGTTTAAAGGTCAAGCTGCTAACTAAAAACAAATTTTGGTACTTAAGGTGGTACCAAACACCTTGACTAAAATTAATTTGGCTCATTTAATTTTCATAAAATTTTAACATATATTTACTTTGACCCTTAGACAAAAATATAAAAATTTCTAAAAACTTGAACCACACACTTTATCGGAAAAATTTCATTGGATATATAGCGGTTCGACAAACACTAATTTTTCTCATTGAGAAGCTTAATATTTCCTGATTTTTACAGAGTTATCTCCCTGTAGTGTTATGTCCCACCTTAATGCATTGTAATTTTTCATAGTGTTGTAGAAATCTGGTGATAGGCCAGTGAGAAACACTAAATCATTTAAACTGTACTGTGCTATTTACTTTAGTTCTACTTAGTTACAGAATCTTGATCCATGAAATAAAAGTGATTGGTAAATGAAAGCTTCTGCTTTTACAGTACAAGTGTATGTAAATATTTTACTATGGACAAGTTAAGAAATTCTTCTTTCATTTCCATAAAGTACAGTCTAAGTGTGCTCATAAATGATGCCTTTACCAATCTAAATGTTCAAAACTGGATGTAACAAGATGCAATTCACAATAGCTCTATTTAGAAAGGGATATATCTTTGACATGATCAACACTGTATGTATGAGTAAAATAGATGGAATAAACATCAAACATACAGCTACACAACAACACAAAGCAAAAACATCTAAATCCCGAACTATTCATAGTTCAGAGCGAGAAACAAAACTAAATGGAAAACTTTAATCTTAGGATATCTACGGTACACAAGATGGAAAATAATCTTAGGTTTCATTAAATATATCTTCATTTATGAAGACTGAATTAACTAAAGTTTACACACTTAAACAAGAATGTGTCCGTAGTACATGGATGCCCCACTCGCACTATCATTTTCTATGTTCAGTGGACCGTGAAATTGGGGTCAAAACTCTAATTTGGCATTAAAATTAGAAAGATCATATCATAGGGAACATGTGTACTAAGTTTCAAGTTGATTGGACTTCAACTTCATCAAAAACTACCTTGACCAAAAACTTTAACCTTGAAGCGGGACAGAAGGACGGACGAACGCACATACCGAAAAACATAATGCCCCTCTACTATCGTAGGTGGGGCATAAAAATAATGCAAGGACTGGTATTGAAAATTGAATATTGAGAGGATAATGCCTGTGTTAACCGAGGGAAGATAAAGGATGATATGTACAAAGACCAGGAAAATAAATCATGACCATCACAAAAAGCACTTTGAATATATTTATTTTAAATATGTGAACATCACTAAGTATTTAACTTTTTTGAATCTACTCTTGCATAGAAAAACTTGTGAAATATGAACTTATATAATTGCATCCAGTGACCCATCTGTCATTCAAGATGGTTGCAAGTTTTACTTTTTTCTTTCACAAAAACTTTGAGTTGATCAATAAACTGATTTATTCAGTCATTGAACCATGAAAGTGATGTCGGGAGTCTGTGATTCAATGGTTGTTTGTTGCTGTGTATCATATATGTTTTTCACGTGTTGTTTTGTGCATAAGTCATGCTAGTAGTTTTCTCGTTTGAATTGTTTTGTTATGTCTGGGCCTTTAGTGACTTGCTGTGGGGTGTGGGTTTTGCTCATTGTTGAAGGTTGTTTGTTGACCTTTGCAATCATTATGTCATTTGGTCTCTGATGGATATTTGTCTCAATAGCAATCATACCACATGTCCATATTTTATAAGGATGAGACATCCTTACAACACAGTAAATCTATTTTTAAAGTTTCTAGGAAAAACTTTTAAATGATGAGAAAGCAATTATCCAAGGTAACATGTTTAGGTTAATCAAAGTTCAGTTCCATGAAAATTTTTGACAAATACATAGTAACATTCAAATACATTTTATATCATGTTTAATTCACCTTAAATGCTAGTACACAAAAATATAAAAAAATAACTATTCTGACATATAAAAATGCATTTGTATAAAGGTGAACACAACTTTAGCACAGAAATGATCAATAGTCAAAACGAAGACTGCAATATATTCATTTTATCTAAAAAAGGATTTAAGGATAAAATGACATCCAAATGTTCAATCAAAGGTCAGAATTGTTAATGATGCAGTACATTTATGTTTCGTTCATATAATAAGGATTAATATTTTAGAATCATTCATCATTTCAAAACATTTTTAATAAATGATTTGGGAAAACATGTTAATTATTATCTCCCCTGAATTTTGGATAAGCCTTTAAATTTTTGCTAATTTGAAAATTGCAGTCCAAGTTTTGTATATTGAGGAATTTTATCACAGATATAAGTATTCACTACCATGACATATATCCAATATTTGACACACAAAATACACACATATTGCAATCTAATGCATATTTCGTTCTAATAAAATAGTAACTAAATAAATACTGGCTTGTAAGGTCTATATTAGTATCCTACTTCAAATTTTAAGTATAATAAACTTAGTACCGGTAATATTTGTGAAATTAAAATGATCTTCTGGTAGATCAACATCTCTGATTTCCTTACGGCTGGCTTCTAAAAGTATTTCAGTTAAATTTGGATCAGAAATTAGATTAGGTTTGTTACAAAGTAAATTTATCAAATCAGGTTTTCAATGTTGTGCATTAAAATTACCAAATGATTTGTTTTTCTAGGTTTAGAATTAAGTAAACAGACAGGCATTTATCATACCAAGTAATTAATAATTTCCAAAAAAGGGAAAGTAGAACTGATGCATAAAAAGCACACATATAAAACTTGAAAAATATTTTGATTTGAGAGATATATGTGGTCTTCCAATCTAAAATGAAAAAATCTTTCCATATCATGCTTCTTGTAATTTCATTTTATTCAAAATTGTACACTTCAAGCATACATAGTACATTGTAACTCGCACAACCATTTAGTAACAGACTACAAATAATGTTTGATTTTAAATCTGTCATGATTCATTTCAAAGTTAAACCCTTCAACAATTTAATCATCAACCAGTAATCCATATATTATTGATGATAAAATAACAACCAATACCAGCATAAAAAAGTACATTTGATGAATGTTAAATGTATGTATGACCTATAATGGTTTACTTTTACAAATTGTGACTTGGATGGAGAGTTGTCTCATTGGCACTCATACCACATCTTCTTATATCTATGTACACATTCTCTGGAATGTGAAAATTAAACAAGCATTCTGAGAGTATTGCATGACAATACACAGTCCCCTACCGGTTAAAAATTAATTGTACTGGAACAAAATGCTAACTTGATCTATAACTTGTCATGGTGTAAACTATATAACAAATATCAAGTCAATATCTTCAAGCATGACGAAAAAAAGTGCGGAAAACTGATAATTTAAGTGAATTTTCTAAGTCCAAGGACCATAACTCTGCAAAAAATCATCAAACCGAAACAAAATTCAAATTTGGTCTGTAACTTGTCATGATAAAACTATATACCAATTATCAAATCAATATCTTCAAGCATGACGAAAAAAAGTGCAGAAAACTCATCAGACCGGAACAAAATTCGAACTTGATCTGTAACTTGTCATGATAAAACAATGTATCAATTATTAAATCAATATCTTCAAGAATGACGAAAAAAAGTGCGGAAAACTGAATATTTCAGTGAATTTTCCAAGTCCAAGGACCATAACTCTGCACAAAATTTTCAGACCGGAACAAAATTCAAACTTGATCTGAAACTTGTCATGATTAAACAATATACCAAATATCAATTCAATATCTTCAAGCATGAAGAAAAAAAGTGTGGAAAACTGATTTGTCGGACTGACAGAAGGACAGACAGACGGACAGACAGACAGACAGATGGACGAAGTGCAAACCTAAATTCCCGTTCGACTTCGTCGGTAGGGGACTAAAAAACATTCTGCGGCTCTTTTCACAAAATATCTTAAGAGTAAAAATACTCGTAAGTCAAACACATTTCAGTATAACTTACGATCAATTTTAATCGTAAGATATTTTGTGAAAAGAGTCGCTGGCATTTAATTGCATGCTAACTTCCTAAACTTAAAAACAAATTGCTTATAAGGATTACTATAAATCAAAAATTTATGTGAGGTTCTTATTATTGCCAAAAATGTGATGAAGAAAGGTTTTGCCAAAAATATAAAACTTGCATTTTAATTTTGATAGCATTTTTGTGTATGCAGCATTTCCTGAAATGATTATAATAATCCTGTTGTTTGTCCATTGTTCAACAAATACAATAATAAAGCACAACAAGCCATAAACAGTTTGTGATCAGGTTTTCAACTGTTGTTTTAAGAGTTAATTAAATCTAAATAAGTTAGTCTTAGATTAGGTTGCCTTAATTTATATCATAGCTGGTGAAGATCTGTTGAATTGACGTACTAATCTTGCACTCTGTTAAATTTCATACAATAAATAAATCAAAGTTCAATTTCTGAGTTTATAAATTCATTACCCAAGTCGATGTTATATAATTTATGAAATAACACAGGGACATCTAAGAGGTCAGATATCTCTAATAGCTTGGACTTCACTGTCCAGTCAGAACCTTAGAAATCTTTAAGTGGGGTCAGGTGAACTGTATAATATACAGGATATCATGTCAATACACAGGCACACACATTTTTGTGAATTTTTTACACTCTTTTTTATGATAAATTTAAAATGATCAATATCATAATTGTCTGGCAGGTGTATCTTATGGCAGCAGTTTTATATACCCAAACTCATTCATTTTTACTATAAACATTCAATAAAATTCTGAAACACCCTCCCTTGAAAAAACAAATGATTGCAGTAAAAAAAAGTCTGATTCATTCATTTGATTCTCAAAATAAAACAAATCCTTAAAGTTTCCATTATGTAAATATCTGTTATGATAATATGGTACACAATTCTTTACTGAGGTCACAAGGTCAAAGTCCAATTAACCTGATTTTCAACCAATAGTATTAAAGCACTATGTTAGCAGTCATGCAGTCTGAATATCACTGATTAAATTCTTTGAGTAAACATTCCATTTGTCGAACACTTGCTTCCTGAAAATGAAGAAGAAATTTTCACATTTAAGAATATTTCCTGCATAGATGAAGATTTAAGTTAAGTTAAACTTATCGACTATGAATTCTGGACTTAAAATCTTTATATTGCTTATTTGCTAGGTAAACCATGAATAATTTATTAGTTACTGAACATAATGAAAATTAACATATCCAATAGATTTTCTGCCATCTTTTAGTTATTTGTTCTCTTGACATTATTGGCTAGTTTACACCTACATAGGAGAAGCATTTGAGGGATTTTTTTATTTAAATTTTGGAAGAGTTGTTTATCAGCAGAAAAAAATGCTTATGACCTAATTTTTTTTTTTATTTTGTAATTTGTTTATTTTTGACATAAAAACAGATACATACATCAAGCTTGATTACACATGTACAGTTTCAAGTATGGCCTTTAAAATATTTCCTTTAAAGTCAAATTCTTATACATCAACTCTAAGTAACAAATACAAATATGATATTATAACTATAATTTTTATACCGGTTATAAATATTTAAATCATGTAGGACCCAAGTTCAGCCCATGTTAAGATACTTACTTTATAGGCACCATGTTTCATCTCTAGATATTTATTATGATCTTTCTCTCTTTGTAATTGTTATTGTAGTTTCTGAACCTTTGACCTATGACCTATGTTCAGCCCATGTTAAGATACTTACTTTATAGGCACCATGTTTCATCTCTAGATATTTATTATGATCTTTCTCTCTTTGTAATTGTTATTGTAGTTTCTGAACCTTTGACCTATGACCTATGTTCAGTCCATGTTAAGATACTTACTTTATAGGCACCATTTTTCATCTCTAGATATTTATTATGGTCTTTCTCTCTTTGTAATTGTTATTGTAGTTTCTAGACCTTTGACCTATGACCTATGTTCAGCCCATGTTAAGATACTTACTTTATAGGCACCATGTTTCATCTCTAGATATTTATTATGGTCTTTCTCTCTTTGTAATTGTTGTTGTAGTTTCTGGAGCTGGTGTTTGGTCTCATTGTCAGCAACGTTTGCATAGTCAGCAAGACGACTTATACTCTCTCGGCTATTCTGTTCAAAATATATTAAAATGCAAAATTTTCATCACAAATTAGTAAATAATGTAATAAAACTGTAAATCTTCCCTAAAACATTGATTATTATATAATAATATTATGGATTATATAATTTTTGGTAAGATTCAGAACTTGATGTACTGTAAATTCAAAAATTATTGCAATATTTTTATTAATGCAAATAATGAGACAGGGTGAATATGACAGTACTAAGAACTAGCATTCTGATATCTGATACATATTTATGTATGCAGATTTTTTTAAATAGCAGTAACAAATGCATGAAATAATTGATGAATTTACAGTATGTATATTCCCTATATGCAGATATAAAAAAAAGTGTTAAGAACATTTTGATGTTAAGTTATGTTAAAACACATGGTAAAAAATACTTAAATACTCTATATGAGCTAACAGGAACAGAAGAGAAAGAACAATAAAAAAAAGCATTATATAAATAATTTATGATGAAAAATTTCATCATAGTAAAACATATGGTAATATATGCTCTAAAAAAATACAGTACTTATAGACTATAACTATAAAAATACAGAACTACTAAACTACATCTTGTACAGCAACTAAATAACTCTAGTGATGGGGTTTCCATATAATACTGTTCTAATAAACATACCAGAAGCAAGTGTTTTTTAAAATAAAAATTTAACTTTTGGAGATTACTACTGAATCTACTAACATCAAACCTCATCATTGCTATGCAATAACTTGATCACAATGCAGATAAATATAGAGGGAAGTAACTCTGCATCTATTTATCAATAGGGGAAAACATCCAGAAACTGAAAATCTACTTGCTATGCAATAACTTGATCACAACACATATAAATATAGAGGAAAGTAACTCTGCATCTATTTATCAATAGGGGAAAACATCCAGAAACTGAAAATCTACTTGCTATGTAATAACTTGATCACAACACATATAAATATAGAGGGAAGTAACTCTGCATCTATTTATCAATAGGGGAAAACATCCAGAAACTGAAAATCTACTTGCTATGCATGAACATGATCACAACACATATAAATATAGAGGAAAGTAACTCTGCATATATTTATCAATAGGGGGACATCCAGAAGCTGAGAATCTACTTGCTATGCAATAACTTGATCACAACACATATAAATATAGAGGGAAGTAACTCTGCATCTATTTATCAATAGGGGGGACATTCAGAAGCTGAGAATCTACTTGTATCAAACTTCATCCTTCCCATGCAATAACTTGATCACAACGCAGATAAATATACACAGAAGTAAAGCAACATCTCATATGTTAAACAAATGGGTACAACACCCAACAGACCAGGACAATTATCCATCTACATCCATTGTGATTTTTGTTCATAAATGAAAGTCTGACTAATTCTATATTTTTCAATAAACACACACAGGTGAAAATGAAGGGTGGATTTGACATAAATGAAAGGTTTTCTGAAGTGGAAATTAAATGAAATTGCATATGGTGTCAAATTTTGTGTTTGTCTCTTTTCATTGCAATCATGTTTTTTCATAGACTAAGAAAAATTGTCTTCATTCTAGTAACTCAAAATAGTCTGTATATGTTGTTGTTGCAGGTTTGTGTGTTTTCTTCTGTGTCTCAATATAGAATTCTTAATATTTCACTTTTGTAATGTTATATGTTTAATATTTATACATGAGAATTAGGGTTCAAAAAGTTATACCAAATTTTGGGTGAAAAGAAGATGATTCTGAGTTTTCTTACTTCTAAATTATATTGTTACATCACTTTTTCAGTATAATGTATGGTCTTATGCCCATTTTAATGTATAGGATATAATATAATGTCGCTTGATTTTTTTGTCTAATAAAAACAAATGTTTCACAACAACAAACACACGGTGAAATACAACACAATACTGCAAAAGAACCACCACAGAACTATTTCACCAAAATATGCATCCATTATTTTAAGAAATTTAAAAATAAATGTGGATAGTGTCCACATGTGGACACAGATGATGCCCCCGCTTGCATATCATATAGTTATAAAGGGACATAACTCAAGAACGGTAAAAGTGACGCTACCCAAATTTGAACTTGATCTGAGTTTTGTGGTAATAAGCAGTGTGTGTAAGTCTCATAACATTTGGTTGAGGCTAACTTAAGTAGAGAACAGAAACTAAAAATTCAGCAATTTTTCTATTTGTAAACATGCAGTACTCTAGAACGGTTGTGTATAAGTTTTATAACATTTGGTTGAGACAAACTAAAGTTAGAGAAAGGAAACGAAATATTCAGCAATTTTTGTGTTTATAATGGGACATAACTCAAGAATGGTAAAAGTGTCGCCACCAAATTTCGTACTCAATCTGTATTATGTAGTAATAAGCATTGTGTATAAGTTTCATAACATTTGGTTGAGGCAAACTAAAGTTAGAAAACAGAAACCAAAAAATTGTACTTGATCTTAGTTTTGTGGTAATGAATATTGTGTATAGGTTTCATAATGTTTGGTTGGGGCAAACTTAAGTAACCGAATGGAAACTAAAAATTTTGCAATCTTTCGATTTATAAAGGGGCATAACTCAATAATGGTTAAAGTGACACTACCCAAATTCATCTTGATCTGTGTTTTATCAGTGGAAGTCAAAATTAAACATTGCATTGTATAAAGCATTGATTGTAGTTGATTCAACTATAATCATGGAAAAAGGAAGATAACTCCAATTTAAAAATTACTTAATATTTAGAAGAAAATAAAAATTTTGCAATTTTTCCATTTATAAAGAGGCATAACTCTAGAACGGTTAAAGTGGCACCACCAAAATTCAAAGTTGATCTGTGTTTTGTGGTAATAAGCACTGTGTATAAGTTTCATAACATTTGGTTAAGGCAAACTAAAATAAGAGAATGGAAACAAAAAATTCAGCATTTTTTCCATTTGTAAAGGGGCATAACTAGAACGGTAAAAGTGATGCCACGAAAATTCAAACTTGATCTGTGTTTTGTGGTAAAAGGCATTCTGTATAAGTTTCATAACATTTGGTTGTGGCGAACTAAAGTTAGAGAACGGAAACGAAAAATTCAGCAATTTTTCCATTTGTAAAGGGGCATAACTCTAGAACGGTAAAAGTGACGCCACCAAAATTCAAACTCGATCTGTGTTTTGTGGTAATAAACATTGTGTATAAGTTTCATAACATTTGGTTGAGGCAAACTAAAGTTAGAGAACGGAAACCAATTTTGGGACGTACGTACGTACAGACGGACAAGGGTAAAACTTAATGCCCCCTCCGCTACGGCGGGGGCATAAAAAACTAATCTCCTAAATCCCCTAAGACCTATTTACACATTTAAACTCCTTATTCTTAGTAACACTGAACATCAAGGTCACTAGCAGTTAGGGAAGGGGGCCTCGGTGCCCAAGTGGTCTAAGTAGTCGAACTACTGTATCACTAGCCTGTCAACACTGAGGTTGTGAGTTCGAATCCCTCACAGGGCAGGTGCACTCGACTTCATTCTTAATTGACTAGGATTGTCAGTTTTCCTACCGAAGGTTTGTGGTTCTTTCTGGCTTCTTCCACAATTAAAAACTGACAGCCACGAAATAGCACAATAGCATTGAAAGTGGCGTTAAACACCAATCAATCAATCACTAGCAGTTGGGCTTGTCAACCATATTTTTCAAAAAGGATGAGAAATTAATCTTTCCCTAAAATTTGATAATATGTCATCCTTTGCAAGATTTCTTCAGAATTATTTCATCGACTATCATGATTTACTATTCTAGCAAAGTTGGCTGCCATATTAGATAGCAGTTGGTGTTTTCATAGTTATTTCTATAATGTGTTTACTATCAGTTAACCAGAACACATTTCACATTTTTTTTTAATTTTTTTTTTTAATGAAGTAAAAAGTGCTAAGTTGTGCCTCTCATGGTTGAGTGCATAAGGGGAGGTATTAGATTGTGAAAAAAATGGAACAAGAAATTGTAAAAATATGGGAAACAGGCAACAAGTGTATGTAAAAGGAAGTGAGTTATGAAAGTTGGCATGATAAACAACCTAAATAGCTGTATAACTAGAGGCTCTCAAGAGCCTGTGTCGCTCACCTGTATTTACTGATGCTTTGGAAATCATGTAAAATAAGGTTAAAATCATAATTAATAGTATTAGATATTAGATATTATAATGATATCTAAGATAATAACAAAAAACTGCAAAATTTTTGTAAAATTACGAACTCAGTGGCAGCAACCCAACAACGGGTTGTCGGATTCGTCTGAAAATTTTTAGCCACCTGTCAGATTTGCTCTAAATGCTTTAGTTTCAGAGATATAAACCAAAAACTGCATTTTACCCCTTATGTTCTATTTTTAACCAAGTCGGCCATGATGGTTGGAAGGTGGGGTCATCGGACAAATTTTTTAAACTAGATACCCTAATAATGATTATGGCCAAGTATGGTTAAATTTGTCTCAGAAGTTTCAGAGAAGAAGATTTTTGTAAAAGATTACAAAAATTGACAAAAAATTGTTAAAAATTGACTATTAAGGGCAATAACTCCTAAAGGGGTCGACTGACAATTTTGGTCATGACAACTTATTTGTAGATCTTACTTTGCTGAACATTATTGCTGTTTACAGTTTATCTCTATCTATAATAATATTCAAGATAATAACCAAAAACTGCAAAATTTCCTTAAAATTACCAATTCAGGGGCAGCAACCCAACAACAGGTTGTCAGATTTGTCTGAAAATTTCAGGGCAGATAGATCTTGACCTGATAATCAGTTTTACCCACGTCAGATTTACTCTAAATGCTTTGGTTTCAGAGATATAAGCCAAAATCTACATTTTTCTCTTATGTTCTATTTTTAGCCATGGCGGCCATCTTGGTTGGTTGGCAGGGTCTTCGGACACATTTTTTTAAACTAGATACCCTAATGATGATTGTGGCCAAGTTTGGTTAAATTTGGCCCAGTGGTTTCAGAGGAGAAGATTTTTGTAAAAAGCTAACGACGACGGACGACAACAACGGACGACGGACGCCAAGTGATGAGAAAAGCTCACTTGGCCCTTCAGCCAGGTGAGCTAATAATAGTCATGTGACATCAATCAATTTATTGTGAAATAAACTAAATTCTTTGCATTTTACATCATAACACTTAGCCTATGATCCTACAACTAGTCATTTTAACAGTTGCACTAGTACTAGAACTATGTGAACTAGCTGACAATGAAAGCTATTTACGAGAACAATGATTTGTGATAACGACAATAAATGGTGCTAGGTTAGTATAGTGCAGTGTAGATAGGAAAATATAAAAATATACCATATTTTTTCTCCTTTTGTCAACCTCCTTGAAAACAAATATTTTGAATTTAAGTTGATACATAAAATACTAAAGTATTTTCTTAATTATCCAAATCTGGAAAATTCATGTGTACAATGCAACACTCCTATTTACATAGTTTAACTATAAACTATTTATCTTTAGCAAAATTAAACATAAATGATTCATCAATATATCTGAATTAATATGAGGTAAAATTAAATTATTCTTATGAATACTTCCTTGTATGGCCATTTTCTATTTCTTTAATAAATATAAAAAATATTTTTAAATATGAATACTGAAATTAATTACACAACCAGGAAGTAAACCTGATTATCGTATAATGAGTAAATCCAATTATCGTATATGAGTAAATCCAATTATCGTATAATGAGTAAATCCCATTATCATATGATGAGTAAATCCAATTATCGTATAATGAGTACATCAATTTATCATACGATGAGTTAATCCCTTTATCGTATTTTGAGTACATCCATATATCGCATGATGAGTAAATCCAATTATCGTATGAGTACTTTCATTTATCATATCATATGAGAAAATCCCATTATTGTATAATAAGCAAATCCAAATATTGTAAAACGATTAAATCTCATTTTTGTAGGATGAGTTTTATTGATAAGAAATAAGTCTTACCCTGATCATTGCTTTAGCCTTTTCCACAGCAGCATGAGCCTTTAATTTCTCTTCGTCTGCTTTTCTTTTCTGTTCCTCTGTATCTTGTACTAAATCTTCCTGCTTTCTTCTGTTAAATTCATACAATTTTTTTTAATTTAGTTTTTAAATACTAAATAGTTTGTAATCAGTTGTATATTTTATTAAGATTTGAATGTTTCTTTTTGTAACTTCATTGGGGTGTAAAAGCGTTGACCATAGTACATTTTGTATGAAGTCCGGAAGCTCTTCATTCTAAAAATGTGCGCACGGTCAATGCTTTTACAAAATTTCATTGTGTAATGAAGTTGATTAAGGAATAACGTGAGATTGCAGTTAGCCAATCAGAATAACGTATTATAATGAAACATACATCTAATGTAATTATATGTGTATGATGCTTTGTTTCATTTGATTTGTATCCCATTTTTACATTAGGTGAACAGCCAATCAGAGCTGATGTTTATATGTTTTTACTACATTGAATTCAAATAAAGTTTTCTATCTGGCTATCTTAAGTTACAGTTTCAAGGGAAAAAAAACAAATACGTTTTGCTGTACAGTTTCTGTTTAACAAAATAAGCATGTATCAACATTTTGAAAGTAATAATTTTAGATTAATCTAAATTAAGAAAGTTTATAGAGAATTAGAAGTAGAAGGTTACAATTCAAAATTTTTGACACAATATCACGTAAAACATAATTTTCAAAAAGAAATAATTCTGCTTTAAAATTTTCAAAATTTTTAAAACAATTGTTTTGGAAAAAAGTCCTTTTATTTAAAATATACAAAATTCTATGAATTATTCTCCTTGCTTTTGCTAGGGGATAGGACATGTATGGTTTCTGACAGCAAAGACTATTTGACATACTTAGAAGTGACTAACTCATTCTGTAGTTTTTCAAACTTGTTTCTAAACCAGTCGTGGGCATCTTGTAAATGGACAGAGATCTAAAAAACAAAAACATAAATAAAGTATAACAAGAACGTTGAATAACATTAACATCATTGAGATATATACTTGTCTTTTCATCATACTATCTTTGTACCATTACTAGCCAAGTGTGATATCAACAATGCAAAAAAAAAAACTGATCATCACTCCTAAATAACACTTGCATGGTGAAGATAATTTAAAAGTCTGAGTTTAGCTAATATCTATTTATCTACCTATAAATAGCAAGGAATTCATTTATATTCATAAAAATTGTTTAATCCTTTTAAGAACATAGCAATTTGTCCATTTTTTCAACGCTGATTTTTTAATTTCTAGTTATATCAGTCATAACATATAGATTATCACTTCCTTTTCCACCAAGTGTAAACCAACTTACTGTCAGAGTTATTTTCAATTTTTGTGAGTGAAATGTAATGTAAATATATATTGTAGTAAATATGGGCCTCCCTTTATATAAATTCATCAAGAAAATTAAATAGTAAGTTAATACTCAGCATAGTTTGCTGAAAGGACTACTCAAAATAAAGTAACCACGAAAATAAAAAGATAATGACTTTCTCTTTCACTCAGTTACCTCTGACGATTCATCCTGAGCTTCCTTTAACCTATTTTCTGTCTCTCTTCTCATTCTGTCAATATCGTCTTTCTGTTTCACTGTATGCTGCAATATAATAGAATCTTAAATAATCTAAAGCAGTTTGTACAGTTTTTCTGAACCAATTTTACTATATCTTACATGATTTTTATATGGTGAAATTGTGTAAAAAGTAAAATCACAAAAATACTGAACTCCGAGGAAAATTCAAAAAGGATAGTCCCTAATCAAATGGCAAAATCAAAAGCTCAAACACATCAAACAAATGGATAACAACTGTCATATTCCTGACTTGGTACAGGCATTTTCTTATGTAGAAAATGGTGGATTGAACCTGGTTTTATAGCTAGCTAAACCTCTCACTTGTATGACAATCGCATTGATTTCCATTATCTTGACAATGATGTGTGAAAAAAACAGACACAATAGGTAAAAATGTCAAAAAAAGGGGTACAGCAGTCAACATTGTGTTATCATCTTAATCACTATAAAAACAAACAAATGTAACAAAGAAGCACAAAAAGGCATACATCAAATTTAACATCCTAGTTTTGCTTTTTTATTATACGATTTTATTTATCTATAGCAGCATTTATAACTTTTATGGTCTTGATGTTATAAATGAAGAACAGTTATAAATATAAGGAGGAGGAGGCTTCAATTATTTGGTTGACACAAAAACACGGAATATAATACTATAAGTTAGTAAAAAGTAAAATACATGTTAAACTCTTTATGTCTAGGGATAATCTCACGCCTTTTTACATTTCCTTCTTTCATAAATATTTTGAATGATAATCTTTTTTTAACAGTATTTATTTACCTGTTATTATATTTGTTTTTTCTGAACATACATTTTGTAAATATCATTTTAAACATGTGAAATTCTCTCATTTTATTTTATTCAAATAGTTATGACAGCATGCCTCAGGGCTTACAGTGACATTGTTTTGTATACAAATGGTGTTTTTACATAGTTTGGTATAACAGAGATGCCTCAGGGCTTACAGTGACATTGTTTTGTATATAAATGGTGTTTTTACATAGTTTGGTATAACAGAGATGCCTCAGGGCTTACAGTGACATTGTTTTGTATATAAATGGTGTTTTTACATAGTTTGGTATAACAGAGATGTCTCAGGGCTTACAGTGACATTGTTTTGTATATAAATGGTGTTTTTACATAGTTTGGTATAACAGAGATGTCTCAGGGCTTACAGTGACATTGTTTTGTATATAAATGGTGTTTTTACATAGTTTGGTATAACAGAGATGCCTCAGGGCTTACAGTGACATTGTTTTGTATACAAATGCTGTTTTTACATAGTTTGGTATAACAGATGCCTCGCCTTTTTGTAATATTGATAGTATAATTCAAATAGTGAAATTAAAATGACATTATTCAACCGTGTAAACTATGCAGAACATTCAAGAGGGGCTGAAGGACCTTTTTCGTGACGTCGGGCTTGGGCCTTTATTTTTGCGGGGAATTTGCAATTTTCACTAATCTGGACTCTGGTATTGATGATTAATTCTTCGGGATCCAGGAAAGAGTTTTATTATTGGGGTGAATTCAGGATGACACCGCCTCCTACTGCCACTAATTGAAAGTCAGTGAACCATGACTGAAGGTGCTGGACCAACTTTCATGGAAATGAGAAATGTCAATGCTTATTTAACTACATACCACATATATTTGTATCATTCACTAATCTAAACACAAACTTTAACTTGTAAACTATACAAAAGATTCAAATTTGATGAAAACCATGCTGATGCCGGGAACAGCATGCCTTAGTCTCATTTTTGTTGTTGAGGCGAGACAAAAATGCTGTTTTAACTAAATGAAATGATATGTTATGTGAAACTATCAAGTGTAGAAAAAAGATGAAACTATTTGGAAATAGGGATAGAGGCTGATTTTTGTAAAAATAAAACAGACTTTCAGCGCCCACTTAGATTTCATGTCATATTAGGGAGATTCAGTACAAATGGATACTCCTTCCATTTGTACTGAATCTCATGCTTCTGGCTTTCAGAAAAATATAATTCCTAAGCCATATTGTATATCAATTCATTATGATTTTAAAGTAAACCTTTTTTCCAAACCTTTTAAATTTTAGATTCATTAATTCTATTTCAGGTTTTTTATTATATATCATACTTCATATTTTCGTTTATTTTCATGAGACACTGTTCGTTCTTTCTCAAGTTCCACCTCTCTTTGTTGAATCAATAAATTGGTCTCTGCCTGATTTTGTGCCAGTTGTTTAAGCTCCACCTGAAGAGAGGCAATCTGGTTCATAAAAGTGTTTATCATTTCACCCTGAAAAGCAATGAAATGGGTGTTAGTAAAAACAGCAAGCAAACCAAGATTATTGCTTTTAATATATTGAAAATGAATGGAAAAAAACAACAAATAATACGAAATATGTCTATATATTTGTGGGGAAATACAACCTGTATATTTAGTGAGCTACACACTATTAGTAAATTCAAATTACTTTCCAAAATATGTATTCAAACAATAATAATCCATAATAGAAATAAGAAATTAATTAAAAATATATATATATAAATCAACAATATCGTTTTCATATCACAAAAAAAATGGTATTTCATTTATAAATACTATAGGGTTAAAGATGAGAGTTTTCTAAAATATTGTGTGTTAACATAATTCTGGTACAGAACTATACAAGCTGCTGTACTGAAAAGTCTGCAATTTGCCAATGAACAAAGTGACAAATCTCACATGATTTTTTTCTAATTGTGGCACTATTTTGATCAAAGTTAGCTTCTATCACAACTGATATATTGGTAAAAGGTTTTTGAAGAAATCCCCATAAAAACCTTAAATGATAAAAATTAGTGTAGATATGGAATTCCTTAACACATAACCTTTCTTGTGCCTCATTAGAAACAAATCAGAAACAGTCTTGTTTATATAATTCTCTAAAATAAATCACACAATGAAAAAAAAAAACTATTTTCAAACCATTTTCCTCTTTAAAAAATAACCCCGAAACAAACCTGGTCAGTATTTCTTTTAACATATTCGTCTCTAAGGTTTTCTAAGTCTTCTATTTCAGATTTTAATTCCTAAAAAGTAAATGAAATTAATTTTATATTTGGATGAACTATCATTATTCAATACAAAAATTATAATACCATGAATGTTTCTTCCTGAAAATATACCCCTTATACAGGTGTTGGTCCAATATCAATTACTCAATACAGTTACCTTTATAAAATTCTCATGGAATTTTAAATCAATTGTTAAAGTCTATAAAAAAAAAATCCTTTATGTTAATTTAATTTTTATCAGGAAGATTTAAATCAGGGATTAAAAACCTGACAATAAAGCCTTGCAAACAAATTTTGCCCTAGAAATGGTGACTTTTAAATTCTGTGAAAATAGAGATACAGTAACATTTAAGACTATTTTAACTCTTGTCAACCACTACTGTATAGGCACTAACCCTGACTTTTTCAGAATTTTCTTCTAAATCTTTCTTTGATTTGTGTAGATATTCTACCCTCTTTTTCTGGTCCCTGATTTTATCTTTTAGGTCCTTAGTCTGACTCTCATACTCTGTCATCTTATGTCGTAGTTCTGTGTTAGCTTTCACTAGTTCCATATTACGTGTCGATAAATTATCATTTTGTTTCCGCACCTATTAAAAATATCAATATATATCTAAAACATACTCAGCTGAAAGTGTTGAAGCATACAAAGTATCTCTACTCTTTTTTCAAGAAAACTACTGTAAATTCAGAATCTAATGCATGCATTTATTATTGTGAATCACTGATTACTAGTAAACTTGTGAGATCTAATAAATGTGAATACAAAAATTTTGTAAAGGAAAATCACAACTAAAATTATAATTGTGAGTTTTTATTATTGTGTATCTGGTACTATCACATTTTCACATTAATAAAAAACATCGCATTAATTTCCAAATTTACAGTATTCATTTTTTTTTTAATTCTATTTTACATTCCTTTCCCAAAATATATCTGTATTAAAGAGTATTGCCACTCATTCCTTATTATGTTTTTGGGTTTTTTTTTTATATACCAATCAATTTTTGTTCCTAAATTACAATGAACAGTTTTGAGTAAGCAAGAAACCTTGTTGGAGTTTCCTCCCTTACCACATTTATATAAATATGTCTAATTTGAACAATATCTTCAGTTTCAAATAAGTTCAATCAATTTAGACACATTTCATTTTAAAAATAAGATGTGGTATGATTGCCAATGAGACAACTATCCACAAGAGACTAAATGACATAGACATAAGCAACTATTGGTCATCATGAGGCCTTCAACAATGAACAACCCCATACCCAAAAGCAAGCTATGAAAGGCCCTGACATGACAAATGTAAAACAGTTGAAACGAGAAATCTAACGGTCTGATAACATGTTTTATACCTCAGCAATATCACGACTATTTTTCTTCAATGATTTATCCCGTTCTTTTTTCAGTTCTCCCCTTAAATTTTCCATTCTCTCCTCAAACTGCTTCATTTCAAATTTCCATTCCTGTTGAGCAGAGGATTTCTGATTTTTAATGGCTGTAATCGTGGAATCTTTTTTACCAAGCTCTGTCTGTAGTTCTTCAACAACAGTTTGTAAATGTGAATGTGATGACATCACAGCTTCTAGTGTCGATGCTATTTCTTTGTTCACAGCTTTAGCGTCTTCCAGATTTCTTTGCAAACCATTAATCTATAAAGATACAAATGTAACTTAGTTTCCTGTGTATACATACAAAAATTGGTACCCATGAAAATATCCTTGTACCAATTTTTGTTGATGGAGGAAAATTGTGTTTTTTTTGTGTATACTGGATTTAACAGTTTTGACTGTTTCAGCATACCATTGTATAGAACATTAGTATTTGTTGAATATTTAAATTTGTGTTTAAATCCTCAGTATGTGTAATCTGATTTCACAAGGATAAAATCCAAACATGAATTAAACTTTAATCAAAACCTTAAAAATGACCTGAATGATTCAGTTGATTATTGAGGGGCGTAAAGGGGGGGGTATCTACACAGAAGAACGCAAAATAAAATTGTCATTACACGATGAACGAACAATTAAAAATTTCTTGCACGTTAATCTTTTTACGGATTTCTCGAAACACAGACAATAACGAACCTTTTTCACGGCTGCATGTGAAATAAAAATGGCAAAACACGTTCCACAAAAATAACCCTTTACCACCCTCATTATTATAGTAGAGTTATCATGTTTTAAATACCACAGGAGAAATTCATACCAGTCTAATACTTTTGATCTTCAAACACGTCCGACTGGATAAAGAAAATGAACAGAAATCATTTTTATTGAGTTATAATGAAATTATTCTGTATGGTGGAGCATCATTTAGCTTATTTTTTGTTCAAATACAGTATTTGTCCTAATACAAGCATAAGACACCCTTTACTTATTGGCAGAAAACTATACTGTATATCAGGGCTTCAAAAACAAATTTTACAAAGTCAGACATTTTTTGTTCAATTCCCTTTTTTATCTTTTTACACTTTGTAACAATAAGCAATTTAGTTTACATAATAATTAGATTTGATTTGATTTTCTGTGTTTTAACGCCACTTTTAAGCACCGCTTTTGGGCTATTTCGCGCCCGGAGAAAACCACCGACCTTCGATAGGAAAACTGACAATCCTAGTCAATTAAGATTGGAGTCGAGTGCACCCGCACGAGCGGGGTTCGAACTCACAACCTCAGTGTTGACTGGCTAGTGATTACAGTAGTAACTACTTAGACCACTCGGCCCCGAGGCCCCGCATAATAATTAGGGAATCAAGGACAATATAGGGACTGTCATGAAAACTATAACTTCATACTATATGGATTCCGTGAACTGATGTGAACTTGTACATTGATATTTCAGTTGTTTGGAGTATGTAATATTAGCCATGTTAGCAGGCTTCACTCTTTATTAATGCAATAACAAGCTGATAAGAAACTTGACTTTTGTATTTAAATAGCAATTTTTTTCTAATAATAAAATGTTGATTTTCAAGACAGTGATAAAATAGGTAATCTTAGTAAATTTCTGTCATTGACAAAAATAGAAAAATCTTCTGTGTTCTCTTGATTTTGTGCTAAACTGTATGGATATATTACTCCAAACTGAATTCTGTTTTATACAATAAAAAGCAATGTTTCCATGATGAAAGATTAAAGCTAATAACTTCTGGTTTAGGAAGCTCTGTAGAGTTTTTAAATCAACTGTGGGGCTTTTTTGGAAATCTAAACTGTTCGTATAGATTTTATATTATACATAAATGCAAATTAAGTTTAATAAATGTAATCCATTGTCAAAAAATTCCTATGTAAAATTAGGCATTCCCATACCCGTAGCCAGGGGGGATTCGAGGGGTTCGTACGAACCCCCCTTGAAAACAAATAAGCATTGTTAAAGTCAAAATTCTGTTTGAATTGTAACTGTTAAAGTTGAGTATGATTTTATCGAACAACCCCCCCCCCTTGGAAATTCCTGGCTACGGGCCTGCATTCCAATACATCATCAAAGGACAAGGACAGTGTAATGGTCATTTCAAATTTTACTAATTTCATTATTTATTGATATATTTTGTGTTAAGAAAAAAAAATCATTATAAGTAACACCATTTTATAAGCTACTACAACTTTAATATTAGTATGTTTTCTCATAAGTCAATTTTAACATCAGATTAACCCAGTCACCAGCACTTACTTTGGACATATCAAGCCATTCCATTACATATTCCTGTAATCATCACTAATAGCATTAACTTAAGTCATCTTCATCATAAAACTATTGATCATATAAAGTTTTAGATATCACAAGTTGACAGTCCTTACAAGGATATCAATTTTTACTACTAGCATATACTACTGTGTTTAAAGTCATATGGACAAAGAGATTTATCTTAAAAAATTTCATTGCCTGGCAATGTCAAATTCTACATGAATACAAACCAGCATTACCATAACAACTTTGGATTCTGCATTAATACCTTGCAAGTTTAATTCCCCCTTATCTATTGAAATGATCTTTAATTCAAAGTAAAGATTTAAGCAGCAATAACACTTAGTATAGTGTATTAAAAATATTAAGTATATAAATGAAAAATATAATATGATTTCATCTCTTTATAATAATCTGGTAACTTTGGGTTTTGTAATTTAACAATCAGGGGAGATTACTCAGCAAATCTTATCATATTCTCTTTTATGCCAAAAATCAAATTTCTTGTATACCAGGGTAAACATTTATAATTAGATGACTCACTAATTCTGACTATTAAGGTCAAAAGCAAGGCAAAATTATAATGCTTGAATCAGCAGATGTCTTGTAACCATGATTGATGTATTTTTAAGGTTTTTTATCATTACAAACAGACCATATCATATATGAAAAGAAATGAAAAATTAATAACCTTGATACATAATCTGATTTTCTATTACCAAAGGAATATATTTTGAAAGTATAATTTTCCAAATGTCATATTCAGTATAGAAAGTAAAATAACAAAAATACTGAACTCCAAGGAAAATTCAAAACGGAAAGTCCCTTATCAAATGGCAAAATCAAAAGCTCAAACACATCAAACGCTTGGAAAACAACTGTTATATTCCTGACTTGGTACACTGTGGTAAATATCACTGTGATCAGCCTTTAATGGGTTTATTAAGAATGCTATTTTAAGCCTTTTACACTGAACAAGCTATACCTTGGACTGATCCTTATCCTCCATATCTTGTATCTGTAGTATTAACGTATCTCTTTCCTTCACAGCCTCGTCTCTCTGTTTCTGTAACTCGTTATAATCCTTTTCTTTGGTCTCATAACTTCCATGTTTCTGTCGTAACTGACTATCAAGTCGCTGAGTCTTTATTTTTAAATCACTCATCTCTTTTTGTGTCTAAAATACAAGTATTATTTTTTATGTTTAAAGCAATTTTAACAAATTTCTTTTCTTTTAAATTGAAATAATCAATTATCTTTGAGACTAGAATCAAAGAAATTTTGTTTTCTTAAAACAATTTTTTTTTTTTTTACAAATATGTGATCGGATAAATTGTACAGACAAACAAAAATTGCAATAGTGGTTTTTTTTTCATAGCTTTGCATGCCTTGCCTTTTTAAATATTTTGCGTCATTCTTAAAAAAAAACTTAAGGCAAAGTATACATAAATTAAAGATCAATTGTTCATGTACATTTGAAAGGTCTTTCCTTCCATAGATTTTAGGATATAAGTAACAAAGAGGCTGCTGGCTTCCTTGTTACTGGGGTCATAATTTTAGAATAGAAAAACGTTGAGTTTAGATGGTCAAGATTTAAACTTAGCTCTGGCTCTGAACTAACAACAACCCACAGTAAGATTTTCTAATTTAATTCCAAGCCCAAATCTCATACAATGGTAAATGTCAAATAAATATGGCTCCTACTGTAATAGTACAATCTACTTATGTTACTATCCTACTAGTTTTCACTTTTTGAAATTACAACAAATTTTTCTATTTTTTCATGACAAGTTATGAGTAAACAAATTCACTCTAATTAGAACAATAGTTATAATTACAATTTCTGTCAACTGAGAATACTCATGCTAACGAGAATGCCCAAATAGTTAAATTACATATAATTAACTAAACTTGAACTTGTCTCTTGATAATTTAGCTAATTTTTATGACACACAAATTATTAGAATAAGTCAAAATCTATACAAAAATGCTGAAAGCCAAAATAACTCAAAATTTGTATGGCATATACTCTCATACACTAGTCGCACCAACACACTGGTGGTGTTCCTTGATTGGAGGAATTTAGTGGTATATATATGACTAATGCTTACCAATGTAATTATACTCCCCTAAACCATTTAATAGATCTATACCAAAGTTGTGCAATAGAACCACTCATTCATGCCCAGTCAGAAAGAACATATGAATATTTTAAACAAAATAGTTCCTTTGAATAGCTATAACTTTGTTAATAAGTTAATATATTTGGGTAATTTTGGAATCAAATGAAAGTTTTTTAAGACTTGTCATCAATGTAGTACCCTTGTTAAAAGTTTCTTTTGAATAATAAAAAAAAATGAATGAAATTTGAATAAACATATTTACCCTGTTGCTCAGATCAGAAGAACCTGTTTTTGTACATCAAACTTCGGGGAACCAGTGTGCTCTAATATGCAATTTAAGGTATGTTGAATTTTTCAGCAAAAAGTCAGGATAAGGTATAGTTTTGAAATGAAATGACTTCCACTTTTATTATTTGAACTTAAGGTAATTATCTATGAATGCTTGAGGTTCCAGAATTTAATATAGAAAGCAATGGGCTATAGATTAGTGGTGTTATTCCTTGTCCCATGCAGAAAAATGTGAACAGTAAAGTTATGAAATAAATAATTGCTTCATGTTGATTGAAAAAAACAAATGGATGTAAATTCTTAATAGTTGTACTACATTTTTAAGTGATTGCATACATACACAGGTTGGGGATTTCCTTCCCCTATTGGACCAATCAGAAGTCAAAATTGATGTCGCTCTTGATTTCAATCAATCAATGTCGGGGAAAAAATAAATATCTTGAGATTTTTATGGAAAGAACAGTTGCGGACAAGGTTTTTATTCATTGAATTTCATTTATCTCTTGTTTGCCTAACATTCTTCACTGACATAAGCAAGATTCTACAGATAAGGATCAGATTTGTATCAAGGCATCACATTTTTTGGCTTTATTTGCAATGCACTTATAGATTTTTAAATCTCCATGCTGGAAGGACAACTAATTTTACAGGTTTTCTCTATGTTCTCATAAGATGAAACATATCTAAGTTACCTGAAACTATAAAACTTATTTGCATAGCTGCTTGAATGACTTATAGAAAAAAGTAAAATGCTAACTCAATGAAAATTGAAAGATTTATTATAAAATAGCTGTTTTTTGACTTCCAAGAAATTTGAGTGTCAGAGATAATATCTCCGAAACTATTGAAGAGTTTTCCTTTTGTAAAATTTACACTTGTACAGTCTTAGAATGCTTTGAAAAGCTTTAAAAAAAACACAAAACCCATAAAATAGGATAAAACACACACAGTTAATTATCTAGGATGTGACTTCTGACCTTATGACCTTTATCAAGGGCATTAATCCCCAATGTCATTGCAAAAGACCCCATCAGATTAGGACCATTGGTTTCATAGTTATAGCTAATAATGTCTTTTCACACAGCATCAATGGGAGTTATGCCCCTTACGGAAAGTAATATTTATCTGAATAGACGCAGAGAGTATTGAAAAGCTTTAAAACATACATGAAACTCTTTAAATAGGATAAAAAATCTCAAAGTTTGTCTTCCTTTGTCAAGGGCATTAGTCCTCAATGTCATTGCAAAAAGACCCTATTGCATTTCTCCTCAAAGGCTTTTCACACACACCTTATCATATCTGTTCTGTAGACCTTCATTAATATGTTTTAATTTTGTAGCATCATTCTGAGCATTTTTAAGTTTATCCACCTCTGCTGTAAGATGCGTGACCTGTGTCTGTAAACTCCCGTTTTCATATGCTAATTTGTTCTTCTGTTCCATCATTTCCATCATTGTTTTCTCTACTTTACTCTGTGTTTCCTAGGAAAATTAAAATAAGATTGATTGATTGATTTTTGGTGTTTAATGCACTATTGGCTATTTCGTGGCTGCAAGTTTTTATTGGTGGAGGAAGCTGGAGTGCCTTGATAGGACCACAACTTTTGGCAGAAATGCTGACAATCCTAGTCAATTTAGATTGGAGTTGAACGCCCCTCCATGTAAATAAGATAAAAGTTTTGAAATGAACCCATAACAATTAGAAATAGACCAATTTCATTACAAACAGAAATTATCAATTGGTTGAATTTTGAAGCAGTGGCAGTAGAAAAATGAACTTATATACTTAAAAAAAATGGGTAAAAATCCAACAATCTTTTAACAGTGCAAAAAATTAACTATGTGTATTTTTCAATCTTGTTTTCCTCTTCACAAATACCTAGCCAAATAATATCTGTCCATTGGTGAAACCATTTGTTGACCTCTAGATGTCTTTAGGCTATTTGTGGAAGGCTGCTGTATCATTTATGTTTACCAATAAAAAGCTTTGGTATTTGACATAATGCATGATCACATTTCTATTGATGAAGACTCTATGTTACACTATAGATATCTTTTGTTGTTGTTGTTGTCCTTGGGTTGCTGTCTCATTGATGTATACCCCACATCTACTTTTATTCAAATAAACTGTTAACACAGAGATATGTCTCGCCTATTTGTTATTTTGATAATGCAAATGTTGAAATTGAAATAGCAATACTTTACATGTAAGTTATGCAAATATTCAAAGTTAATAAGCCATGACTGAAGGTACAGGGCTAAACAATCTCCATGGAAATGAGATGTGCCAATGCTAATACAACTGCATACCAAATACCATTGACTTATCATAAGTTGTTCCCTTTCAACAAACTTAAACACAAACATTACTTGTAAACTATGTAAAAGTTTCAAAGTCAATGAACCATGATGAGAGGGTGGGGCTATATAATCCATGGTAAAGAAACTTGCAAATGCCAATACATTTGCATACCGAATATCATTGACTTAACATTAGTGGTTCATCTTATTCTGACCTAATCACAAACTAATACATGTAAACTAAGTAAAAGTTTCAAAGTCAATAGACCATGACTGAGGGGTAAGGACCAAATATTCTCCATGGAAATGAGATGTGCTAATGCTTATACAACTGCATACCAATTTTCATTGACCTAAAACTAACAGTTCCCCTTAAACTGACCTAATCACAAACTAATACATGAAAACTAAGCAAAAGTTTCAAAGTCAAAAGACCATGACTGAGGGGGCGGGGCCAAATAATCTCCATGGAAAGGAGATATGCTAATGCCTATACAACTGCATACCAAATATCATCGACCTACCACTAGTGGTTCCCCATAAACTGACCTAATCACAAACTAATACATGAAAACTAGGAAGTTTCAAAGTCAATAGACCTTGACTGAGGGGGCGGAGCCAAATAATCTCCATGGTAATGAGATGTGCCGATGCTAATACAACTGCATACCAAATATCATTGACCTACCACTAGTGGTTCCCCATAAACTGACCTAATCACAAACTAATACATGTAAACTAAGCAAAGTTTCAAAGTCAATTGAATTTGACTGAGGGGGCGGGCCAAACAATCTCCATGGTATTGAGATGTGCCAATGCTAATACAACTGCAGACCAAATATCACTGACCTACCACTAGTGGTTCACCATGAACTAGACCTAATCACAAACTAATACATTGTTGACGCCGCCGCAGCCAATGCCGGAAACAGCATACCTATGTCTCGCTTTTTGACTCCGTCAAGCTGAGACAATATACAATTACCTTTACAATGGTAATCATAGTTTTAATAAAATTGTTAGAGAAGAAAGTGAACAAGAGTGCACAAGCCAATAGTCTTCACGATGAACTTTTGAATCCACAGGCTTCAAGCTGAATTTTACCAAAATTTTAGTTAGATTCTATTGGTCTGTAGAGATGATTTTTACAGGCCTGACAGCATTTTTACAAGCCTGGGCTGGTGGGCCTGTGGTTGAGTGTGAAGACTGTGCTAAAATGTTATGTCTGCTTTACTTTATGTTGAAAGTTTTTTAGATAAAGATTTTACTTTAAGTATCACATAAACTTAAGAATATCAACAATCCAGTTAAATGAGGACAAATTCATAAGAACCTTCACAGGCAGACATGTTCACCTTAAACTCATTCCATACACCAAAAATAATTAACCTATTGCTTATAGAAACATACATAACCATAGTATCTGAGAATAGGATCAAACTACAGAACTTAACATTGACCAATGAACCATGAAATGTGATCAATGTCAGAGGAACCTTGCCAGACAAGCATTCTGTACAATTATAATTGACAAATTGCTTATAGTATCTGAGAATAGGACCAAACTACAAAACTTAACATTGACCAATGAACCATGAAATGTGATCAATGTCAGAGGAACCTTGCCAGACAAGCATTCTATCCAAATATAATTGACAAATTGCTTATAGTATCTGAGAATAGGATCAAACTACAGAACTTAACATTGACCAATTGCAATGAACCATGAAATGTGATCAATGTCAGAGGAACCTTGCCAGACAAGCATTCTATACAATTATAATTGACAAATTGCTTATAGTATCTGAGAATAGGACCAAACTACAAAACTTAACATTGACCAATGAACCATGAAAATGAGGTGCTGTTCAGATGATACATGCACCTTACAATCATTCTATACTCCAAATATAATTGACACATTGCTTATAGTATCTGAGAATAGGACCAAACTATAGAACTTAACATTGACCAATGAACCATGAAAATGAGGTGCTGTTCAGATGATACATGCACCTTATAATCATTCCATACACCAAGTATAGCTGACCGACTGCTTATACTATATAAGAAACAGACCTATTCACATACTTTTACTTTGATCACTGGTGCATACAATGAAGTCGAGGTCAGGTGAACCCTGTTTGACAGACATGTAGACATTACAAGGATCCCAGATACCAATCATAATTAGTGATAAATTCACATTACAAAAAATAAACAGTTTTTTTAAAGTATTCACAGAATTAATAAAACCCAATCAAGGGCAATAGACATATAACAGATGGAAACTTTGTAAAAAATGGCATCTACATACCAAGTTATGAAGCATGCATGTCTTAAGCTTCTACCTTCTGAAATATAAAACTCTACACAAATAGTTGATGCCGCTGCCACTGCCCCCCAGATTAGCATCCCTCTGTCTAGCATTTTGTGGCTTTCCATTATAGTTATTTACCTGTTGCCCTTCAAACCCTGATACCCTTTCCATGAGAGTAGCATTTTCATGTTCCAGAGATTTCCTAAGTTTTTTCTGTGAGTCTAGTTCTATTTTAAGTTGTTGTGCTTCACCCTGAAGTTTTGACCGTTCTTCTATCATGGAATCTACAGTCTGGTTCACCTACATTGACATAAATCATATGATCATTAAAAGGGTTCACAGGTCTTTCACTGAGGATACATCATATACATTGTACTATCATTAAAAAGTTCACAGGTCTTTCACTGAGGATACATCATATACATTGTACTATCATTAAAAAGTTCACAGGTCTTTCACTGAGGATACATCATATACATTGTACTATCATTAAAAAGTTCACAGGTCTATCAATGAGGATACATCATATACATTGTACTATCATTAAAAAGTTCACAGGTCTATCAATGAGGATACATCATATACATTGTACTATCATTAAAAAGTTCACAGGTCTTTCACTGAGGATACATCATATACATTGTACTATCATTAAAAAGTTCACAGGTCTATCAATGAGGATACATCATATACATTGTACTATCATTAAAAAGTTCACAGGTCTATCAATGAGGATACATCATATACATTGTACTATCATTAAAAAGTTCACAAGTCTTTCACTGAGGATACATCATATACATTGTACTATCATTAAAAAGTAAGTCTTTCACTGAGGATACATCATATACATTGTACTATCATTAAAAAGTTCACAGGATTTTCACTGAGGATACATCATATACTATCATTAAAAAGTTCACAAGTCATACATCCACATAATTTGGTCTCTGGTAGATAGTTGTCTCACTGAAAAATTTTCCACATCTTATAGAGTTAGTTTACAATAAGAACTATGATCTACAGGATTTTAATATGAGTAACATGACAGGTGGCACCAGTGGAGCAGGATCTGCTTACCATTTGAGCACTTGAGTTCACGCTACTTTGGATGGGGTTTTTGTTCCTCAAAGTTTAGTTTTGTCTAGTTTTTTTTGTGACTATTGATTGGTTTTCATTTTTCTAATTTTGGTCCTTATTTCTTCCTGACTTTCTTTGTCTTATGGTTTTAGAATGCCCCCATTTGTATCTTTTAACTATTTTTACCAAATTATTCATCACAATTTATTAAATTTAATTTCTGCCACATAGATATACCTCATCTAGTAAGTGATCTTTATCTTTGACAGCCCTCTCTTTCTCTTTCTTTACGACCTGTAGCTGATGTCTGAGTGAATTCAGCTCTTTTTCTAGTCCTGAAGCAGCTTGACAATACTCGTCGTCCTTGGCAACAAACTTTTTATTTAGACCTGTATACTCTTGTTCGACATGACGTCTGTAATAGAATTTGTATCACTTTTACTTCAGAAATTATTTGCGCGGTTTTTAATAATTCGAATAATGCGACTTGATGATTATCGTATTCTGATATCTGGTTTGTATATTTGTATGCATATTTTCCTAAATCGCAATAATTAATCTCACATTTTTTTCTTTTCCTCAAAAATCACAATAAATGCACACCATAATTTCTGAATTTACAGTATTCAATATAAGTATAACAAACAATCAAGTACTTTGACCTACAATTGTTTACTTTTTATACATTGTGACTTGGAGAGTTGTCTCATTGGCACTCATACCACATCTTCTTATTAATATAAGACAAATTTTTTACCCAATAATTACATTACATAGGTGTTCAACAATTAAAAGCTTGGGATACACTTTTTTCAGACCTTAATCACCCATTATATAAATTTTACAATTTACTTATAGTTCTTACAAAATTCTAAGGAAAATGCAATCACCAACAATTAATCAATTTGACTGCCTCCCATCCCAATCTTCAATTACCGTCTTTTGGTATGCATAGTGCGCATTTGTGTATAGTGCGCACCCCCTTTATGGTCCAAGAAACGTGAGAAAAAAAGTTTATTGTTCATATAAGACTCATAGACATTTTCGGAAAAGTTACAGCTCCAAAATCAGCAAACAGGAAGTCTATCGGTAAACAGGAAGTTTTTTAAATGGACACCGATGTCAGAGAATTTCGTACGGAATAGGTAATTATATGAAATTGCAAATATTCTGACAAATGAATAAGAATTTTATAAGATTGAGATAAATCTACATTTAAGTTTTGTTTTTTTAAAACCAAATTTAATAAATTGTTTGAGTATCAAGGACAAGATTAAATATCCAAATTAATGTTCAGATTGAAACAATAACATAATTACGAATCAGTCAAATGATTATCATTAACATCATTAGTGCTGTAATAAATTGTTAAAATCTCATTATTTTATTTTTTGTTTGTTGATTCTAGCTGTTAATCCGGATTATCACACCTCAATCAATGGGTCTAATTGATGTCAAAAACAAATCAGTGACAGGTTCACCTTGTTCCTAATTAAATTCCTTCAGGTTACAATTATGGGATTATCATGTTTTGAATTTCAATCATAATTTCTTGAACGGTTTTAAGCAGTTGTTTAAAAGTTACAATGTAGAAAAGTTTTTATAACTAGAGGCTCTAAAGAGCCTGTGTCGCTCACCTTGGTCATGTTGGTCTATGTGCATATTAAACAAAGGACACAGATGGATTCATGACAAAATTGTGTTTTGGTGATGGTGATGTGTTTGTAGATCTTACTTTACTGAACATTCTTGCTCCTTTCTATTATCTCTATCTATAATGAACTTGGCCCGGTAGTTACAGTGGAAAATATTTTGTAAAAATTTACAAAAATTTACAAAATTTATGAAAATTGTAAAAAATTGACTATAAAGGGCAATAACTCCTTAAAGGGTCAATTGACAATTTTGGTCATGTTGACTTATTTGTAGATCTATCCTTGATGTACATTATTGCCTTTACAGTTTATCTCTATCTATAATAATATTCAAGATAATAACCAAAAGCTGCAAAATTTTCTTAAAATTACCAATTCAGGGGCAGCAACCCAACAACGTGTTGCCTGATTGGTCCGAAAATTTCAGGGCAGATAGATCTTGACCTAATGAACAATTTTATCCTCATCAGATTTGCTCTAAATGCTTTGGTTTCAGAGATATGAGTCAAAAACTGCATTTTACCCTATGTATTATTTTTTAGCCATGTCGGCCATCTTGGTTCGCGGGCGGGGTCATCGGACACATTTTTTAAACTAGATACCCTAATGATGGTTGTGGACAAGTTTGGTTAAATGTGTCTTAGTAGTTTCAGAGAAGATTTTTGTAAAAAATTACAAAAATTTACGAAAAATGGTTAAAAATTGACTATAAAGGGCAATAACTCCTTAAGGGGTCAACTGACCATTTTGGTCAAGTTGACTTATTTGTAGATCTTACTTTGCTGAACATTATTGCTGTTTACAGTTTATCTTTATCTATAATAATATTCAAGATAATAACCAAAAACGGGAAAATTTCCTTAAAATTACCAATTCAGGGGCAGCAACCCAACAACGGGTTGCCTGATTGGTCTGAAAATTTAAGGGCAGATAGATCTTGACCTTATGAACAATTTTATCCTCATCAGATTTGCTCTTAATGCTTTGGTTTCAGAGATATGAGCCAAAAACCGCATTTTTACCCTATGTACTATTTTTTAGCCATGTCGGCCATCTTGGTTCGCGGGCAGGGTCATCGGACACATTTTTTAAACTAGATAACCTAATGATGATTGTGGACAAGTTTGGTTAAATGTGTCTTAGTAGTTTCAGAGGAGAAGATTTTTGTAAAAGATTACAAAAATTTACGAAAAATGGTTAAAAATTGACTATAAAGGGCAATAACTCCTTAAGGGGTCAACTGACCATTTTGGTCAAGTTGACTTATTTGTAGATCTTACTTTGCTGAACATTATTGCTGTTTACAGTTTATCTCTATCTATAATAATATTCAAGATAATAACCAAAAACGGCAAAATTTCCTTAAAATTACCAATTCAGGGGCAGCAACCCAACAACGGGTTGTCTGATTCATCTGAAAATTTCAGGGCAGATAGATCTTGACCTGATAAACAATTTTACCCCATGTCAGATTTGCTCTAAATGCTTTGGTTTTAGAGATATTAGCCAAAATCTACATTTTACCCCTATGTTCTATTTTTAGCCATGGCGGCCATCTTGGTTGGTTGGCCCGGTCACCGGACACATTTTTTAAACTAGATACCCTAATGATGATTGTGGCCAAGTTTGGTCAAATTTGGCCCAGTAGTTTCAGAGGAGAAGATTTTTGTAAAAGTTTACGGACGACGGACGCAGGACGACGGACGCCAAGTGATGAGAAAAGCTCACTTGACCTTTCAGGTCAGGTGAGCTAAAAATAAACTTCTCATAGACTAAATCATCACTTTACAATATCAAGTCACATGACTGACCCACATGACTGGCGATCACCTGATACATTAGAAAAAATGGTGGTTTATCTTTTCAAAACAAGCGTGGTTTATTCAATTTTCATACACTTTTCTTCTACTCTCCATGATGAACACATACAAAAACAGTAAGTTATGACAACAAGGAACACAGAGGCTAATTTAACCGACAACAAAAGCTTTATTGTGTCTTTATTAAGACATGGCAAATTTCCGGATTGCAAACAGATGGACAAATTTACATGATAAACGTAGCTACAGAAATATAAAATGTATTTTATTTGAATAAAACACGACAAATCAAGAACAATAAGATACAAATTACAAATATAACATGTAAAATATAAAAACAATCGAGGTTTTAGCAAAAATATTCCTTACTCTTCACTTCTCCTGGAAATTTTTTTGTCGGAGTTTGGACCTGAAAAAAGACTAAGAAAATGTCTGTAGGCATGTATAACCGGACCCCTCTTACGAGAAACATGACCCAGAGTATAAATGTGTGCACTATACATACCAAAAGACAGTAAGATATATTTAATGAAAAAAATCCTATTTAACTGGTTATTTTTTTGTTGTTTGGCTTTTTATAATTTCCAATGCAGTTTTCCACTTAATACTAATGCTTACAATCTTTTTTCCAAGGATTCCCGTTCAGCTGTTAGTTCCTTTGTTTTGATCTTATATTGCAATGCCTCTTCTTCAATTCTTTCTTTCTCTGCAACTCTGCTTCTCTCTGCCTATTGTAGATAAACATGTAAGCAAAATTACAACATACAATGTACATAAATATTGATATACATGTAATACATTCTTTAAAGTGAAGTAAGGAAATAGATGTATTACTATAAGATTAGCTTCTGTCCAAGTTTCATATCAATCCATGAAGGTTTACATTTATCAAGCCAAAAAATTATTCCCAAACTGTCTGTAAATGTTAACTGCCAAAAAAAATCAGTCTATCTATTAGTTAAATACTGAAAAATTTAGGAGAAAAAAATTCAAATTTTCCTTTAGACATTATCCCTTCATCATAAAACAGCTTCTGTAAAAGACAATTGACTTGTAGTTAAACTTTAACACCGACTTATCTAGTTGGAAATTGCAAACAAATAAGTCTGTTTATCAGTAAAAAATTCCTAAGGGGTTCCACGGAACCCTGTGTCTCGCATGCAATTGCTGCTGTCAGTGTAAAAGTGTTATGTTCACTTAAAAAGCGAGTACGTGTATCAGTAAAATACAAAATTCAAAATTTTACTCTGGATACTATATTTTTGACATAAACAAGCTTCTGTCCAAATTTCATAAAATTCCAAGTAGGTTTGACAAAGTTATTGATGACTAAAAAAACTTTAACCACAGACTGAACCTAAATGTTGACGCCACCAACACCGACGTCGGAATCTAGGATCACTTTGTCTCCCTTTGGAGAAATAAATTTCGCAGGTTCAACAAAAAATGAAGAAAAAACATTTCACTATTTTGCTCTTAGGCAAACTTCTACAACTCGTATGTGAATACTGTTTTAGATTTAAAGGCATGGGGGTGGAAGGCACTCAGATTAATAAATTGATGGTGGTTGCATTTTCTTCAGAATTTTGTAAGAATTATTAAATGAACATTTTATATTATAGGTGTTTGTGGTTAAAAAAAAACTACCTCAAACCCCCGTGCTTTTAAATCTGGGACAGCCCTGAGGCAATTTATATGCAATTAAGACATGGATTCTAATTATATGAGGGCCATTCCTCTTTATCAAATAAATAGTCCATAATTATGTTTTTAGTTAATCTGGTCGGCACATTTTCTTGGAAGAATTTAAGGATTGAAACTTAATGTTTAGTATGATGTTGGGTCAGCACCACTTGGGGTGCATCCCACTTTTTATTCAAAAAGAGTACTTGGTATAAAAATAAATGTACTACATAAACTATTGCATACCTCCAGTTCTTTTTTATGTAATGATTTAATATGTTCCGTTTCACTCTGAACACACGTCGTAAGCTTGGTTAGATGTTCATTCTGCTCCTTTAAGTCTTTGTTAGTTGTCTGGTAAATAATTACACACATATATACAATGTTAGGTAGACAATTATATTACCATCAAAAATGTTATCAAATCATACATAAACAGTAAATTCTATTTTTATCACATATAACCCATGAACCAGTTAGTCATGCTTAACACCAAAATGAATAGTAAATGGTCAGTTGTACAATAGTAAATGGTCAGTTGTACAATAGTAAATGGTCAGTTGTACAATAGTAAATGGTCAGTTGTACAATAGTAAATGGTCAGTTGTACAAAAGTAAATGGTCAGTTGTACAATAGTAAATGGTCAGTTGTACAAAAGTAAATGGTCAGTTGTACATGAGACATCAAACCAAACAACAAAAACAAACAACTAAACAACAAACGTTGATTAGATGAATGTCATTCGGTCTCTGGTGGGTAGTTGTCTCTAGATGAATGTCATTCGGTCTCTGGTGGGTAGTTGTCTCTAGATGAATGTCATTCGGTCTCTGGTGGGTAGTTGTCTCTAGATGAATGTCATTCGGTCTCTGGTGGGTAGTTGTCTCTACATGAATGTCATTCGGTCTCTGGTGGGTAGTTGTCTCTAGATGAATGTCATTCGGTCTCTGGTGGGTAGTTGTCTCTAGATGAATGTCATTCGGTCTCTGGTGGGTAGTTGTCTCTAGATGAATGTCATTCGGTCTCTGGTGGGTAGTTGTCTCTAGATGAATGTCATTCGGTCTCTGGTGGGTAGTTGTCTCTAGATGAATGTCATTCAGTCTATGGTGGATAGTTGTCTCATTGGCAATCATACCACATCTCCTTATACTAAAAGTCAAAACATGTTCTGTTTGTTTTAACTTTTGTAAAAAGTAATAAAATTAATTTACCCTGCATGCTGTCAACCTCCTAAATTTTTCAATCCATTTTTAGAAGCATTAAAATGTTAAACGCACAAACAAATGATCATACACCATTTCCCTAATAACCACTCCTACCTTCAATTCATTATTCTGATTGGCTAATGTGACTTTGTCAATCAACAACATTTCCTATTAAAATGTAAGAGTTAAAACCTCTATCTTTTTAAACACATATAAAACAAATATGTTGGCATATGCTTCTCAATAGCTTATAAATATTATTTAAAAAAGAAGTCAATACAGCGGTTCATTCTGATCAAATATATGTACAGGAATTCATTGTTCAATTCAAGTCATGCAATTAAATTTTTTCAACTTACAGCAGGAAAAATATATAGTGTACACATACAATGGCTCAGTTATTAATCACTCCTTTTGATGTTGAGTGAATCACAGTGAAACAGGGAGATTGTCTGTGATTTAGAATGATAATATTTTTTACGACCTTAGTATATAATATCTACTGTAAATTCAGAAATTATGGCGTGCATTTATTATTGCGATTTTCTCATTTTAGACTAAAATGCGATTTTAACTTTTGCGATATTGAGAAAAATCCTGTTTAATTCATATAAAAAATTTCAAAATGCGAGTTCAAATTATTGCGATTATAACCCTGTCGCATTTTTCGCAATAATAAAAACATCGCAATAATTTCTGAATTTACAGTATTGAAAATACTGAGAAGTTTCATAGTAAATCACTTCCAACCACCAGCATTCACTATGAAAAATCACCACCAAGAATGATTCTTAACTGAATCACTTTGTCTGTACAGTACTACAATACATCCCCTCACCTTCTGCTGATCTACGATAACTTGAGTTTGTTCTAGTTGCTTAATGAGGTCATCGTACTGTTTGCGTAATCTATCCAGTTCTTTCATTAAAACTTGTCGATCAGAATCCATTGTCTCAAAATTTCTTTTCATTCTCTCTGAAAATTAAATGTGTAGTGTTAAGTATAAATATAAGAAACTAGTAATAGTTATAATTGATAAGGTTTACAACTTATCTAAGGTCACGTTTATACAGACTTCTTTGAAGGACAAACTATGTGCATATTAAACTGGTATAACTCCACAACATTTGTCCCTGTACCAAGTCAGGCTATCTGGACCATGTGTTGCCAGTACATGTTTGTCTTTTTTTTGTAGAAGGGTCCAGTGTTGTTCGTAGATGTCTTTTGTACTGTCTCATATTTTTCCTATGATACTTTTTTAATATGTTTTATACCTAACATTTTCTATCTAATATTTTCAGCTGTAATCTGACTGTAAAATTTAGGGTACAATACTACTGAGGATGTTTTCTGTTGAAGTATGTACAATTCAAATCATGAATCTGAAGATGAATGACAAATGCACAACATATGCCTACCTTTGAAAAAGAACCTACCTTTGAATCTAAAAAACTTTGTATAGGCCAAGCTTGGTTATTTCAAGTATGAAAATTTATATTACCCATTTCTTCATAAGCTTCATTATAATCTCTTTCTATAGAATCTCTTTGAGCCTGGGTCAGTTTTAGTTCCTCCCTCACATTTAACGCATCGTTACGTAAACTTTGGCAGTCCATGGACAAAGATTTAACCTGAAACAATCAATGAAGACTGATCAAAGTAACCTGACAATACATCATTCTTATTTTAGTGTCAACCAATTAGACTGTCCTACAAAAAAGCTCTTTCTGTTAATTTTTTTGAAAAATCAAATCAAATCTTACTGACATGTAAATCATCATCTTCGCTAGCCAAGGTTTATGATCCAGTCCCCTCCTTTCCACCCTTGGCAGATTGAGATAGAATTTCAGATCACCGAGTAAATTATTTCCATTGGTCGCAGTTGTAACTGGCTGCTTCCAATCAAAAAGCGTCCTTTAAGATGATCACGTGTAAATGTAGAAATTGTAAATAAACAATTGCCATGTGCTGATTGTGCAACATGTCTTTATCTCCAAAATATAGGACGATATTTAGTAACAATTCTAAAAGTTCTTAATTAAATAATTAAAGTTCATGGGTATGTTTCTCTGGCAAATGTTGGAATGTCAACGTATATTTTCAGTTCCTGCTTCACAAAATTTGTAAACACTGGACACAACCATTTTACACCTCCACATTGAAGAGAGTTCAAGTGCTGTCAATGTAGTGGGAATGGGCGTGACTTTTATCTACCAATAGATGGCACAGAGAAATTACAAATGATGGCTTAATCTTCTAAGGGTGGAGAGGAGGGGACTGGATGGTAACCCTTGGCTAGCGAAGATGGTTAATCATGTACAACAAAGTTATAACAAAAATATGATTAAATATTGGTTTGTCTTGTTAGCATTTTAATTCATGCATCAAATTAAATCAGGAATAAATAACAAGTCAATAATCTCATTAAATTCAAAGTCAGAGTTATTCACATGAAAGGTATAATTATATAAAACAATGAGAGTACAGGTATATATGACAGATCTGAGTTACAATGAATCCAATCTTCATCAAACTTTGAACAACTCTTTAACAAATGCTTGAAGGTTTATAAAATTAAGAGGTAATAATTGTAATTATCTCAGGCAAAGTTGATAAAAGAGTTTGTTTTGTCTCTTTTGTAAACATTTTAGCCTGTTTAAGATTTTAAGAACTCAAACAAGTAAAAAGTTCATTAAAACGTGTAATGTTTATTTGAAACAGTGCAACAAACTTATTTTTTAATTTGTGCTATGTGTAATACAAGGTTTTACCATTCCACGAACCAAGCTATTGATTTATTTGTGACGGGACACAATTAAGGCAATCATATCTAATATCTATGGTTTAATCAAAGCTGTTAATAATATAATGATGCACACCCTTAATAGAATACTAATGTGCGAGATAATCCATATCTCAATATAAAAATCTTTTTAAAGGGTATACTGCAGAGAGAACCAAGCTTATCAATGGTGCACCTATTTAATTTGTATTATAATCTGAAGTTAAATGTCTGTGGAAAAATACAAACAAATCATCAAAAATCATCAAAAATCACTGGTGGTATGCTGCAAAGAGCACCAAACTTATCAATGGTGCACCTATTTAATTTGTATTATAATCTGAAGTTAAATGTCTATGGAAAAATACAAATAAATCATCAAAAATCACTGGTGGTATGCTGCAGAGCACCAAGCTTGTCAATGGTGTACCCATTTAATTTGTATTATAATCTGAAGTTAAATGTCTATGGAAAAATACAAATAAATCATCAAAAATCACTGGTGGTATGCTGCAAAGAGCACCAAGCTTATCAATGGTGTACACATTTAATTTGTTTCATAATCAGTAGATAAATACATATAACTCAATGAAAATCACTATAGGATTGTAACGCATGGGAATTATCATGAAATGTTTGACATGTACACTGAACTCACTGAAGGATTGTATGGCATGGGAATTATGAAATGTTTGACATGTACACTGAACTCTCTATTTGTACAGGCATACATCTCATAAAACTAGTTTAACCTCACCACATGTTGAATTGTTCATTTGCCTGTCCCAAGTCAAGTACCTTGTCGTCTTTTATCAAAGCTTAACTCAGTCTTATTTGGTAAAGTACAGCATTAAAATTCACTTTTCTTTGCTTAAAAATAAACATAGTTTTCCCAACCTCCTTTCTCTCGGACTCAACTAGAGCCTCCATATCTCGAACTCGTTCCATTAAGGTATTGTGTGACTCCTCTAAACTTTTCCTAAGGCTCTTTTCTCTGTCACACTCTTCTTTCAATTCATTTATCCTTCTCTGCATTTTCTGTTTGGTTAAAGACAATTCATCTGCTGTTACAGTTGCTTCCGCCTTTAATAAAATAAAATAAAGAAAGATAACTCCTATATAATATTGTAGAAGTTGCTTCTGCCTATATGTTTATCAAAATATAATCAAGAAAGATAACTCCTATATAATATTGTAGCAGTTGTTTCTGCCTACATTAAATCAAAATATAATCAAGAAAGTTAACTCCTACATAATATTGTAGCAGTTGCTTCTGTCTACATGTAAATCAAAATATAATCAAGAAAGTTAACTCCTACATAATATTGTAACAGTTAATGATTCTTAAATCAAAATAAGAGTTCCAATATGCTTATATGTCTTGCCTGCTCTATTGAATATAATTGAATTTATGTTGAAAGTTTTTAAGATCAATGCCTTACTAGTACAGGTATAACAGAAACTTAATATTACCCAGTAAGGGTATTAAAGATCAATAAAAAATAGGTCATGGTCGGATGAACAATGTCAGATGGACATGAACACCTAACAATCATTTTGTACACCCAATACAGGTGACCTATTACCAATTCTATCTGAGAAATGGACCTTATTATGAAAAACGGAAACCTCAGACCTTAATACAAAAAAGTCATTATTACTCAATGTACCAGTATCAAGAAAGTGTTGTAAAAAATCACCTCGCCACTGTGCAGGGGGTAAAAACTTATAATCTATAACGATACATACATGACATTTTGACCCCAGTCACCCCATATATGTACAACATGTACAAGGTAAGAAGCCAAACTGACAAGTGCAGTGCAAATCAAACCGTAAATATGGTCATACATGTTATATTATATTTTGTACATTTATACATGTATCTGTCCATGTTACGATGATGTTATGGCCTTTTTTTTTCTTTCTTTGACCAGATTCTCATTTTTTTTTTATCATTCCAAATAAAAAAACTAGTGAGTCTTGCATTTACAAATTTTAATAAATGTCTTTTTTTAAGAATGAGGTAATTCAAAAAATTGTCATAAGAGTAAAAATCTACCCACCTTATCAAAACATGATGGGAACTATCTTACCAAAGTAAGCATGCTAATTTAATCTTACACTAGGTTAGTCAAAAGTTAATGCTTGATAACTTGAGATAATGACAGTAGATTGGATTATATTTACTGAATTATCTCCCCTAGATTGTTAAGATTCCATATAGTTTATATCTCCGGATAAAAATATGAAAGAAAACCACGTGCACCATTGTTTTGTTTTACATACATGTATATTCACATTGAACATATTATTTTGATTTGTTTTAATTGTGTTTTACCACTACCAGACAATGCCTAATTCTTTTACAAACTGCATTCAAAGTACACAAATAATGCAATAATTGGATAAATTATGTATTCAATTGATATCCATTTATAAAAAAACATAAAACATATACTCACCATTTTATTCTGTTAAAATATCCAAAAAATATGGAGATACTAAATTTATATAATTATTGGTACTGGACTTCCAGTGATCTATATTTACTTTCCTTCAATAGTCAAATTTCACTTGATGTTTCAGCTTTATTTAAAATTTAATTTTGCCACATAAATTTCTGTTCACCACTAACTAGAGTTGAAAAAACTTTTTAATTAATGAATGCACGTTTTGCTACTTTCCTTGCATTGTACATGTATTACAAAAAGTAATAAGACAATTTGATAAACATGCACATGTGCATGTAGTGTCTTGGAAAAGAAATTTAGTACTGCATGTTGCAATGAATTTAATGAGTGTCCCTTTCCTAATCTTGATGAATTTATATAGCAACATTATATTTCATTAAGAGGAAACTTCAGGTGTTATTGATCCAGTCAATTTATTTTATCATTTATTTCAAACTTTATAACATATGGCTTACACAGTAAAACAAGACTAAATTCACAGCTAAACAAAGGGATTAAACTATCAAAGGAAAATAAATGACTCTGTTAGTTACTGCAAAATTTCATTAAAATCAGATGTGATATTTTAAGAAAATGAAAACATAGGCACAATGTAGAGTGGTATGTTGAAATTTACTAACTTTTGGCAAACATTGTAAATTGCTTTTTGAAGAAACACTCTAAATCATTTCATGTCTAATGACATCTTTAATTTCCAGTTTACACATCTGAATGCCATAAATGTTAGTACATAAAATTGAGAATGGAAATGGGGAATGTGTCAAAGAGACAACAACCCGACCACAGAACAGACAACAGCAGAAGGCCACCAACAGGTCTTCAATGCAGCGAGAAATTCCCGCACCCGGAGGCGTCCTTCAGCTGGCCCCTAAACAAATATATATACTAATGTATTGATTTTTCTCTAGCTGTTTTCTCTTTCTGTTAATTTTAAGTACATGTACAATGTATGCTATGTACAATGTGTATGATGATGAGCAAAGCCCACCCCAAACACTGAGTTATTATTTCATGTATTTATATGAAGCTAAATAGAAACAAAAAATCTGTTCTACAGCACTGCTACTGCTCAAGTTATTCACTAAAAAATCTACTATATAAAAAAATTTCCATTTTTTTCTAAAATGGGTGTTCAAGTACTACATAACTACATGTACATGTTTAATTCAGCATATATGTACTTTTGAAGCATCTGCAAAAAACTTCAATTAAGCTCAAAATTTTTAAACCTGTTTGTGTCAAAATATCTAATTTTTTTTATTTAAATGTTATTCACAAAATCTTCAATTTTATTGATACCGATTTCAGAATCACTGGCCAAAATTTCTTTTATTACTTTTTTAAAACATGTTAAACATAAACAATGTAATTTCTGAAACCAATGAAATTTTGGATGAATACGAATATTCAATTAATTATCAACCTTTGTGGCCTTAGATTGACTATAGTATATACATGTACATATAATGTACATGTATCATGTGTATACTAAATCGGTAAATTTCAAATTTTTCTTGCTTCACTTTTGGATTGATTGATTGATTATTGGTTTCTTAATGTCTAGCTATATATAGTGGCTTCACTATTGGACAGACAATAGGAATGAATAAAATTGTAATCATGAACATAATCAATCACACATGTACACAAAAGAAAACAAAAGTCATGACCATGACCATGATGACAAATGACAAAATTAATTTTGAAAAATTACACTTAATCCAGTTCCTGATATTAGATTGTGTACATATACAAATGTATGTGTTAATGTTGTTCGCTGTTCTCACAAAAGATTTTTTGTAGCCGAGTCCAGGAACTCACCATTTTTTGCCCTGGTGAGTTCACAATGTAAAAGAAGAAATGTTATATTGCAATATAATTTACATGTATCATCTAAGTCTCCATGACAAAAATAGAGCAAGAAAAAGACAAAAAATTTAGATTATTTTTTAACTTTTGCTATAAAATTAAGACAATGTAAGATATCTGGGATCAGTTGATATAACATTTTACAATCTTGATGCACCTTTGGACTCACCAGTCATGCCAGTTTTGATAATGATGAGTCCACATGCTTTTCATGAGTCCAGGACTCATGGACTTGCCTTAAGTGAGAACTCTGGTTGTTACTCTCTCTATATATCTTGCTTACAACTTGTATATACATTTTTTGTACATGGTATATGTGTACAGATGTTATAAATTGTTAACTTCTACATCATGTGGTCGCTGGTGGAGAGTTATCTCATTTGCAATCATACTACATCTTCTTAATTTTATATTGATATATACATGTATATGTTCATGTACAAATTAACAAAAAAATATATTATAAGGAAAATTGCCTCCTTAAAGTATTGTTTTAAAATTGACATTACACAGATATATTATATAACATGATTACAGCATTTCATGATAATGTAACTCATGATATACATTTTTTTTGTACAGTAACATGTCCATGTACATGTAGTACTATCTGTTAATTAGGTTGTTACATGTAGACCTACCCTCGTTGTTGAAGAATCTTCTAAAGCAGACTTTAAATCTTTAATATTGCTTTTTAATTTATTTTTCTCCTCATTTTCCTGTAATAAATCTTCCTTCATTTGCTCCATCTCTCTCTTGTATTTTGAAATAGTCTGTTCGTAAGTTTGTTTCAACACATTCATTCTATATTCAAATTCATCATTTGACTTCCCTTTCAAATGATTTTCACCCTGAATGTTAAGCAAGTTTAACTTCATAGTCTGCACTGTACTTTCCATTTTACACACCCTGGATACAAGTGCTTCATAATTGTCTTTAAGAACATCATTACTTGCCATCCTGACTTTGTATGGGGAAACAGGAACTTTCATATTTGATGAATTGATATCTGCTGAAGTTTTGCTAAATCCAAGTCCATTTAATTGTTCAAGTAAAATATTAGTTTCATCCTCAGCGGCAGTGAGTCGATTTTCTAATACCTCTGCTGTTTGCTGGGGTGCCGACCCAGTGGGGTGGCCTGCTGGTGGTAAAACTTGCCGTGACATTGAAAATATTTCCTGTACACTCCTATTGAACTCTATTTCAGAATCATTTCACTAAATAAAGATACTCATCACCTATGTACATGTACAAATCTTGTAAATGAAATATGACCATTTGATCTCATATTAATCTCCACTAGTTTTGGGTGATTTGGCAGTTTTCATGATCTGAAATGAATAAACAACATCTTAACACTTGGATACTCCAAAACTGATTCTTTGTTTAAGTGACGACAATCGGATCGTAATTTGATAAGTCAACAAGATAAGTCCTTCCTAAGCAAACTGCTTACAGTATGTGTATACTAATATTGGTTTGATGTTGATAAAAGAATTGTAACTGTCAAATATTTCTTGAGTGTTAACAAAATAAATTATTTAAATAACTTATCATGCTGACATTGTGTGGACAAATATAAAAGGTATGCAATATTAAATTACAAAATTGTTTGATGGGAATCTTGTAACCCTAATTGTTTACTACTATCATGCAAATTTATATAGGTATTTTAATGTTACATCTCTAAAACCGTGAATAAACATAGATTATTTCACTCAATGGGCTCCATATATTTCTTTTGAATCTTTTGTAACATTATCAGTTTGGTCATACCTCAGCATTTAACACTTGTATCAATATCCATAATCACAAAATTTAGCTAAATAGCATGCATTTGAGGATTTTAATATATAAAAGGTAATTTAAATTTCTCCACAAGCTTGTTTAGACATGAAATGGTATACTACTTCAATATTATATCTCTGTTCGTATACATAATATAGGTGATTGATTTAAGTGTTTACTTTTCTGTACCAATGACATTTTTGTGGTTCTATAAATTTATGAGAAGGGAAACCATTACCTGTTACGCATGAAATTGCAGCATATGGCATATAATATATTCCAAAACAATAAAAAAAAGTCTTTTTCTCTTCAAATTTTAACATCTGCAAAAGCATTTATATTGTCATATAATGCAATTTTAAACTATGCATGCTTATAATTGCTTAAAATACTTTAAAAGAAGTTTCATCTATTTCCCTTGGCAAAACAATTTTGAATTATTCGGGATTTTGTTTAAAATCACATTTTTGTTTCGAGGACGCCATTTTTGTAAACATTCCGAGAAGTTCCGAAAATATAAATAGAGTGGATCGAAAAGTATAAAATGCGGGAATTTTAAAAAGTTAGTCTTCGTTCAAAAATAGACTTTTTGTTTGAAACGAATTTTAGTATCACAATTATTAATGTAACTTCTTCAAATTAATTTCCTTTGATTTCGGAACCGTAACTCGTATGGTCCATATAATTTTTATGATTTGCGCAGACCATAAAAGCTCATTTACTATATGTAAGCTCTATTATGTTTTCTATATATATATATATACCGACTTCGTCTATAAATAAAGCTTTTGAACTTGAACTTTGAACCATTATGGGTCCCCATATTCTGGGACATAATATAGTAAAATAGTCCCAGGAAAATCATTGTCAATAAAATATCATAAGGGCCTAAGAGCAACAAGTAAGAATACCTTTGAAATCATATTTCCAAGGTTCTAACGTAGAAAACTTTATTTGTATTCTGAATTAATAAAAATGATAATAATAGCTCTGTGTGCTTTTGTACGAATATTGAGCAATAATTGTCACAGTACCCAAATTGCACCCATTTTTTAAAAATTGCAGCGAAAATCTTACAAGTTTTCTTAGAAACTAAATTATTTGTATTTTTATAATTTGCCATTATGCACGTCTTTCAACACAGCAAATGTGCACAACACTGTCACTGCCACGTTTCACAAACAATTGGCCGTGTAGTGACACAGGGCCGTCGATACTGTAGTCATTTAATTAAATCAATAGAGACGAGCCCCGTTAGTATAGAAAGTCCCTGGGTGACATTAAAGATATTTTCACTGAACTTAGTATGTCACATTATTACGAAAGTAATGGTAGATTTGAAATCTTTTGAACAATTGTACGAACTTATTACTGTGGTATGTGGAGAGAGTCCTTGATAATTAAGCCAAAGCTACGATCCTACTTAAACTTTAAAACAAACCGTGAATTATAACACTATGTAAACCTTAATCTTACGAAGAAAGAGCAATCTAGACGTGGACATGGATGTCAGACCACACTTCTCAGAGTGTTAGAAGATTGGCGCGAAGCTCTTGATAAAAACCAGTACATTGCAGCGGTATTAATGGATCTTTCTAAGGCTTTTGACTGCCTGCCTCACAATATCTTGCTAGATAAATTATCAGCATATGGTGTATCCCCCCATGCAGTTGCTCTTTTAAAGTCCTATTTATCTAATCGTAAACAACAAATTAAAGTCAACAATGTTCTGAGTGGTTGGGCTGACATCCATAAAGGCGTACCACAGGGTTCTATACTAGGGCCATTGTTGTTTAACATATTTATAAATGATATTTTTCTTTTTGTTAAAAATGGTAGTTTATATAACTATACAGATGACAATACTTTGTCTTTCTGTACTCCAGATTTTGATTTATTAATTTCAAATTTGGAATCTGAGTCAAAAATACTTATTGAGTGGTTCCGGGTGAATAAAATGCAAGCAAATCCCGACAAGTTTCAAGTTTTGGCTGTTGGCAAAAAGACCTTTGAACAAAACCCATCTATACATATTCAAAACTCGAACCTTACATGTGAAAAAACAGTAAAATTATTAAGCATTGAAATTGACTATCAGTTAAATTTTGATGTTCATATCAGCTCAATCTGTAGGAGGGCATCACAGCAATTAAATGTTTTAAAACGTTTGAGCTCAGTTTTGGATAGACTTAGTAAACTTACTATTTTTCATACCTTTATTCTTAGTAATTTTAATTTTTTCCTTTGGCATGGCATTTTTGCACTGAGAAAAATTCCAAAAAATTAGAAAAGGTGCAGGAAAGAGCACTCCGTTTTGTATATGAGGATTTTACCAGCCCTACGAGGACCTCTTACTTAAAGCTAAGGTGCCCTCCTTGCAGATTAGACGGATTAGAACAATGGCTCTAGAAACTTTTAAGATTATAAATAATATAGCTCCTGTGTGCTTACAAAATTTGGTGAGTGTCAAAAAATCTAAGTATTCTTTCAGGTATGTAAATATTCTGGATGTTCCACAGGTAAAGTCAACCCGTTACGGTAAAAAATCTTTCAAATTTGCTGCCACTACTCTATGGAACAGCCTTCCAAACCATTTCAGGACTGAAAATAGTTTTTCACATTTTAAAAGTCTTGTTCAGTCCTGGAACGGTTTGGAATGTCGCTGTTCTGCTTGCAGATAATTCTTGAGATGTTTATTATTTATGTTGCTTTTGGTTGCTCTGTTCTAGCATGTTTTATTTCATTTTGAATTTGTTGCTAAATTTTTATTGCATGCTATGTAAGTGAGATTTAACTTCGTATAACAGGTTGTTTTATATGTCAAATTAGACTGTTTTTATGTTATGTATATGTTTTTATATTCGGTCAAAAGCTCCTTAGAGCTTGTGTTGTGTCTTTTAACTTATGCCGAATCAAAATAAAGTTTTCTTATCTTATCTTATCTTATCTGTGCTAGCACAGTTTAGAAGTGGGCTATTATTACCGATAAGATCAGAGACTGGTAGATATATTGGGAGAACCAGTAGAGGATAGACGGTGTCGATTTTGTAATTCACAGACTTAGATTGTTGAAAGTGAACTACATTTTCTTATAAACTGCACATTTTATATACAGATATCAGACAAACTATTTTTAGCGAGATATTAGTGTTGCCTGACTATACGCAGCAGGATAACAATTTCTAATGGCAAACCTTCCAAGGAAAAAGCCAAATAAACTTAGCAGCGTCCGTAGAAAGCAAACACTTTACTCTAATTAACATTCTCAGACTTTTTCAAATACTTTCGAAAAACCAATTCTGAACCTTTACAAACTCTCAATATTAAATTATGATTATCTTTCTCTCGAATTCAAATTGACAATTAACACGTGATATTGAAACATTTATAGTGAATTGAAAATGAAAGGTGACATATTGGTCCATTGGGCTGGGTGTATTTCATATGCCGGATCATATTTTATACATATATAAATATATATTTATGCTGATTTACACATGTCATTATTAATAAACAATTTTCTTACTTACTTACTTACTTATATATCGATCAACAGATAAAGTTTTAGAGAAAAAAGTAAAATATACGGAAACGTCGCATGTCAACTTTTAAAAATGAGCAATTAAAATATGTCCGAAGCATCTATTTCTTACAAAATGAACAGTTAGCATGGACAAATGTCAAATTGTTCTAAAAATATGGAGAAATAAAACAAAAAATCAGTTATTCGATTTTTACAGATGTGAATTTAAGCATGGAGACAATTTAGGTAGTCCTCATTGCTGAATGATCAATCATGGGTCGTTTGGAGGTCGGTTCAAACCCATTTTTCTATGTTTCAGTATGGATTCAAAATTAATTTTTTGGAACTGTATAGTAATTAAGGATACATCTATAAAATAAACACAGTTTTGAAACTTTTGTCTGGATCTTAAATAAACGCACGTGAAAAAATTGTCAAAATAGGTGCACTTTGGGTACCCTCACGTTATATTGTTAAAATGTCTTAAAATTTTTGCTAAAATTGATACAGGATCCTCATCTTATAAAGCTGAACATAGTGTACATTTGTTTTGACTGTACACACTTGTCTTGTCTTCCCTGACACACTAGCTTGGAACATGATTAAAAGTAAATGTCATGATTACAAGGAAAACTACTTAGGGTTTTTCTTATTGTTAAAGGCCGCACGGTCACCTTTAATTGCTTACATCCACTATACTTTTGAACTTTGGTGGATAACTGTCTCATTGGCAATCATACCACATCTCCTTAAAGTATCTTTATATAAGAAGTTTATTACATCTCCTTATCTTTATATTAGAAGTTTACAACGTCTCATTGGCAATCGTACCACATCTCCTTATCTTTATAGTAGAAGTTTATAACGTCTCATTGGCAATCGTACCACATCTCCTTATCTTTATATTAGAAGTTTATAACGTCTCATTGGCAATCGTACCACATCTCCTTATTTTTATATTAGAAGTTTATAACATCTCATTGGCAATCGTACCACATCTCCTTATCTTTATATAAGAAGTTTACAACGTCTCATTGGCAATCGTACCACATCTCCTTATTTTTATATTAGAAGTTTATAACATCTCATTGGCAATCGTACCACATCTCCTTATCTTTATATTAGAAGTTTACAACGTCTCATTGGCAATCGTACCACATCTCCTTATCTTTATACTAGAAGTTTATACCGTCTCATTGGCAATCGTACCACATCTCCTTATCTTTATATTAGAAGTTTACAACGTCTCATTGGCAATCGTACCACATCTCCTTATCTTTATATTAGAAGTTTATAACGTCTCATTGGCAATCGTACCACATCTCCTTATCTTTATATTAGAAGTTTATACCGTCTCATTGGCAATCGTACCACATCTCCTTATCTTTATATTAGAAATTTACAACGTCTCATTGGCAATCGTACCACATCTCCTTATCTTTATATTAGAAGTTTACAACATCTCATTGGCAATCGTACCACATCTCCTTATCTTTATATCAGAGATTTATACCGTCTCATTGGCAATCGTACCACATCTCCTTATCTTTATATTAGAAGTTTATAACGTCTCATTGGCAATCGTACCACATCTCCTTATCTTTATATTAGAAGTTTATACCGTCTCATTGGCAATCGTACCACATCTCCTTATCTTTATATTAGAAATTTACAACGTCTCATTGGCAATCGTACCACATCTCCTTATTTTTATATTAGAAGTTTATACCGTGTCATTGGCAATCGTACCACATCTCCTTATCTTTATATTAGAAATTTACAACGTCTCATTGGCAATCGTACGACATCTCCTTATCTTTATATTAGAAGTTTATAACGTCTCGTTAGCAACCGTACCACATCTCCTTATTTTTATATTAGAAGTTTACAACGTCTCATTGGCAATCGTACCACATCTCCTTATCTTTATATTAGAAGTTTACAACGTCTCATTGGCAATCGT